GGCTTTCCATGCAAACATGGGGTCCTGAGTTCAATCCCCAGAGCCCAGGTTAAAAATAAAGAAAATCCAGGCATAGTTGTATGAGCTACACAGAAAGGAAATGGAGACAGGATCACCCTGGGGCTCACTGAGCAGCCAGCCCAATGCAGTTGGGAGAGTATAGGCCTGTGATAGACCCTGTCTCAAAAACAACACTAGCAGGCTGGAGAGATGGCTCAGCAGTTAAGAGCACTGGCTGTTCTTCCAGAGGACCCAAGTTCAATTCCCAGCACCCACACATGGCAGCTCACACCTGTCTGTAACTCCAGTTCCAGGGAACCTGACATCAATGCACAGACATAAATGCAGGCAATACACCAGGACACATAAAGAAAAAAAAAATAAATAAAACCAAACCAAACAGAACAACAACAACAACAAAACAATAATAGCACCCAAGGAACAACACACCTGGGATTGTCTCTGACCTCCACATGCAAACACACAGAACACACATGCACACATATGCACACACATCACATGAAAATGCCCATACATGTGCAGACACATGTGCACCCACAGAACACACATACACACACAGGCACATAAAAATGGAAGGCAACTCATCAATGGTTCCAGAAGTCAAGGTGTGGTTACTTCTGGGGAAGGAAGTGCTGAGTGAGACGGGGTGAGTCTTAGCTTGAATGAGATAATGTGGGTGTACAGTAACTCTGTAGTACCTCTGTTTTGCTGCCTAAGGTTTCAGTTACTGCAGTCTAAGAATATCAAATGGAAAATGCCAGAAGTAATCCATAAGTTTTCTAAAAAGATTTATTTATTTATTATGTATACAGTACTCTGCCTGCATGCCAGAGAGAGCGCCAGATCTCGTTACAGATGGTTGTGAGCCACCATGTGGTTGCTTGGAATAGAACCCAGAACCTCTGGAAGAGCAGTCAGTGTTCTTAACCTCTGAGCCATCTCTCCAGCCCCTCTATTGCATGAGTTTTAAACTGTACAATGTTCTGAGTAGTCCCATCGGCAACATGAATCACTTCTCTAACTACTGTTTCTGCACTGCATATGATACCTGCCCATTAATCACTTAATGCAACACAGTTATTTAGGGCTTGATACTGTCCTTGGTCTCAGCAGCCCATCAGGATCTTAAGGGGAAATGACTATCTGGTTCTCAATCAATTACCTTGTGCTAAGAATTATCCAGATGCCGCCGGGCGTTGGTGGCGCACGCCTTTAATCCCAGCACTCGGGAGGCAGAGGCAGGCGAATCTCTGTGAGTTCGAGACCAGCCTGGACTACCAAGCGAGTTCCAGGACAGCCTCCAAAGCCACAGATAAACCCTGTCTCGAAAAACCAAACCCCCCCCCAAAAAAAGAATTATCCAGATGCCAAAGTAGCATATTTTGGGGTGACAAATTCTGGCACCTTCCAATGTAAATATTAACATTCTTTGGGTTGAGTGCTACATTGAGTATGCTGATGCATATATGTTACTTTAATTAAAAATTTAAAAACAATGATTTGTGGACATTGTAATTAGTATAATCCTTGATTTGGTATGATCTCAATTCAGCATAAATCTAATATCCTTCCACACTCAAATTTTATTGCAGTAAATTTGCTTTCTATGTTTCCAATTAGGAGAAAACTTGACTCATAAGGCCGTGGATTTGGTGCTGACACAAATGACGAACCATCAGATGGGGCCGGAACGTAAGGCTGGCGTTGACTTGCAAAGGTAACTCAGGGTGGCTTCTTGGGAAGGGCTGATTCTGTTGAAAGCAACATGTGTCCTTTCAGTCAGGAATAACCATGTGTGTCCGTCACTATTCTATTGCTGTGTAGAGACACCATGACCAAGACAACTTTTTTTTAAAAAGATTTATTTATTTATTATGTATACAATGTTCTGCCTGCATGTACCACTGCAGGCCAGAAGAGGGCACCAGATCTCATTACAGATGGTTGTGAGCCACCATGTGGTTGCTGGGAATTGAACTCAGGACTTCTGGAAGAGCAGGCAGTGCTCTTAACCTCTGAGTCATCTCTCCAGCCTGACCAAGGCAACTCTTAAAAAGGAAAGCATTTAATCGGAGACTGGCTTACAGTTTTAAAGGTTAGTCCATATAATCAGGGTGGGGAACACGGTTGGCACCCATGGCTCTGGGGTAGTGGCTGAGAGCTTTACATCCTGTTTGATAGGCAGGTGGAGAGAGAGAGACTAGGCCTGGAGTGGACTTTTAAAACCCTAAAGCCCACCTCCAGTGACACACTTCCTCCAACAAGGCCACACCTCCTAATCCTCCTAATCCTTTCAAATGGTTCCACTCCTGATGACTAAGCACTGGGGATGGGTGGGGCATTCTTATAGAAACCACCATGCCACTCCAACATCACTATGTGGGAAGAGGGACTTATCTTCTCAAAAATCTCCATTATGTCCAAAGCCACAGAGAAACCCTGTCTCGAAAAACCAAAAAAAAAAAAAAAAAAAAAAAAAGTCTCCATTATGGCAAGGAAGTGTGTTAGTGTGTTTTCCTTGGGAAGAAAATACTCCATGAGGCTGACTATAATATTTTAAAGAGTTAAGTAAAGATTTAGTCAGATGCACGGTGTTGGACTCCAAGGACAGAAATCACTCTATTGTAAGGCTTCTCTGCTGTAAGTACCAGAGATAATATGCCTCACAGTAATGCATGTGAAATAATATAGTGAAAAGATTCCCTTTTCAACACGTTAATGAACTCAAGGTCAACTGTGTCCTCAGCTGGCCCCAACACCATGCCGGGCTTATGGGAGGCAGCAGAGGATGGTGGAATTTTCACAGGACTCAAGCGGGAGCTCACACTATGCTGAGGGCGTGACTGCCTACTAGAGTTCTGGACATCACAGGCCACAGCTTCCACTGTCTAAAGCCACGTAGAAACGGGACATCATGGCCGTGTCACATGCACTCTCTAACTGTAGATCCATGTGTAGAGAGAGTTATGCATGTCTGGGAGCCAACCCATCTCAGGTGGCCTGCCATGTGGTCAGGTAGGCTTTATTTCTCAAGTCACTTCGTAATGAAAATGCATCAATGTTCCACAAGATATCATGTCACCTAGACCCTAGGTTCTAGAGACTGTTCAAAAGTCAGGGACTGCCGGACTGTGTTAACACACACCTTTAATCCCAGCACTTGGGAGACAAAAGCAGGCAGATCTCTGAGTTCAAGGTCAACCTGGTCTACTACAGAGTGAGTTCCAAGGCTGGCAGGACTACACAGGGAAACCCTGTCTTCAAAAACCAAAAACCAAAGCCAAACCAAACCAACCAAACAAACAAACAAAAACAACAAACAGCAGGGCTGTGGGCAGACTTTATATGTAAAAATCCTGTGCCTTTTTCTCTACAGACTTCAGTATCGGAGGACCTTGGTCTCTATGAGGGTCCTGGACATGGCACAGACTGGTCGGTGGGGAATCCTGACTCCGTCCAACACATAAGAGAAACAGCAGGATTCATGGAGCGAGTTAGGCTCTGCTCCATCCTGACCCAGCAGGTTCCTCTTTGAGGCCCCTTTCCTCCCTGGGCATGGTGTTTCACTCTCTCTCCTCACTGTGCTGGGCCCCTCTGGGCTGGGCCCATTTGCTGTCACCAACCTCCTCTGCTCTCCTACGGAGATGCATGAGTCACACTTAGCATGGGCGGGAGTCTAGAGGGTCAGCTTTGCCCTTGCTTCCTGGCACTGCCCTCTGTGGAAGCCAAATCCCACCGGGCTGGCAAAGACACCCCCCATCCAGTAACATGCTAGCTAATGGAGGAAAGGACTTCCTTGAAGGACCCATCCCACCTACTGAGGGACCAAGTGAAGAGGCTAAAAGGGAGGGATGTCCTGGTTGCCGTTCATCTCAGCCCTCTCGACGGGAGCGCAGCCAACGCCAAGACAGCCAGAGTGGAGATGTGTCAGAGCAGGGTGGGGAGTGTCCCTCGGGACCATTCTACCTGCTTCCTGTCCTTGAACAGGGCTGAGGTCACCCCCATTGCCCTGCCCAGTTGTCCCTCTTTTGTGACTCTTCTCTTCATTGTCCAGTTCTTCTGCAAAGGTTGAGCTCAATGGCCCTTGGGAAAGGTGCAGAGTTAGGAGCGACGGCCGCCTGGAGGCCGCATGGGCTTTTCCCGCTGGGATGCTGAGTCTTTGCTTCCCTCACACACAGGGATGACAGGGATGGCAGTCCTCTGGGTGGAGACTCGACTGACGAGGAAGGGGTGGAAGCTGAAGGCGATGTCCTGACAGACGAAGAACGTAGGTTTGTGAAACAGTTCCGCAGCTGGAAAAAGAATGAAAACAGACGCATTAGAACCCTCTATGCCATCGCAGACAGCATTGACAAAAGCCACCAAAAAGCCACCAAGACCAAAGTGGTGACTAACTGTGCATCAGCCGTCTCTGGAGCCATGAGTCTCCTGGGTTTGGCCCTTGCTCCAGTAACTGCAGGCGGAAGCCTGGCGCTCACTGCTGTTGCGCATGGCTTGGGGGCAGTTGCTGGGGTCACCAATATCGTGACCAGTGTGAGGGAAAACTCTCGAAACAAAAGAGCCCTAGCTCAGGCCAACAGAATCCTGCCCAGCAGTGACCCAGAGCTCGAGGAGGTCAAAGGAGAGAAGACGGCCTATGTCACGGCCGCTGGTGAGATTGTCTACAAATGTGGGAGCGCTTGGGCGATCATCAAAAACCACCTCCGAGCCCTCCAGCTAACCAAAACACACCCCCATATCACCTCAGCTGCCAAGAAACTGGTAACTGCTGGCCAAGTCTCAACCCAAAGCAGCAGGCAGATACAAAAGGCCTTTGGGGGCACAGCTCTCGCAATGACCAAAACAGGTCTCATGAAGGGAGGTGCAGGTGCGGTCCTCTGCCTTGGCCAGGACATATATGCTCTCTTTGAGGACTGGAAGGAACTGAAGGCTGGATCACCAACAGAGCTTGCAGAAGAGTTAAGAATGCGGGCTCAGGAGCAGGAGCATGTGGTATTAGAACACACCCGACGCTACAAAATGCTGAAGAAGGTGAGGGCCAGATTTTGGAAGGAGCTAGTAAGCATAAACCAGGACCAGTGGAACCATGTAAAACAGGCATGGTTAAGGGAACCTTTGTGTGCATGCGTGTGCGTGCGTGTGTGTGTGTGTGTGTGTGTGTGTGTGCTACGTTGGCAAGTTTTGAGGATGCCTCTCATTATAGGCCATATGGTTGTTCCAGGGTCTGTGGTGTGATAAAGACCATGATAAAAACAACTTGAGATTGAGGAGGGGTTTACTGGGTTAAACATCCCGAGTCACTGTCCATTGAGGGAAGTCAAGGCAGGAGCTTAAGCTTACTGGCTCTCTCCCTCTCCGTGTCTTTCTTAGCTTGCCTGCTTATGCCGCCCAAGACCACCACCCAATAGGAGCGCCACCCACAGTAAACCGGACCCTCCCATACCAATCACTAAATCAAGAAAATGCCCTACACACATGCCTACAGGCATGTGATGGAGGCGTTTTCTCAGCTGAGAGTCCTCTTCCCAGATCACTTTAGCTGTGTTAAGTTGCCCAAACAAACAACAGAAATTAATCAAGGCAGGTCCAAATAGTATCCAGTACTCAGGAGCCCCTTGAAGAGTGGGAAGCCTGTCCTCAGCTGGCTTGGTTAGCTTTCGAGCTTCCTGGTTGAATAGAATAGGTCTCCAAATCACTGGAAGTGGTTGGACTAACTACCCTCTCAACTGCTATGAGGAAACTACGTGCCCTCAGTATCTGGAGCGGAGCCTAAGGGTAGATAGAGCCTTACAGGCCTGATGTCCCACAAAAGAAAGAACCTGGGGGATCCACCCCATGCATCTGCACAGAGAAAAACTATAACAAGGCTTTCTTAGGAGCAATCTGGGGAAAGTCAGCACCCAACAGGAGTGGAATGGGTCAGAGACTGAGTAAACAGCTTACCTCTTCCTAGGATGCTGGGCAGATGGTGGTGGTGGTGGTGGTGGTGGTGGTGGTGGTGGTGATGGTGGTGGTGATGATGGTGATGGTGGTGGTGGTGGTGGTGGTGATGGTGATGATGGTGATGGTATTGGTGGTGGTGGTGGTGGTGGTGTGTGGTTTAGTTTTTTGAGACAGAGTGTCACTCTTCTTGACATCATTATGTAGTCCATGCTGACCTCAAACATATGATCCTTCTGCTTCAGGCTCCCAAGTGCTGAGATTATATGTTCGTGCCACTATCCCTGGTTTAAGCATTTTGTTAACTCACTGTTAAAATCACTATTAATATTAGTGAGAAGTCCTTACAATAAGAACTCTTTCCAACATTCTTTTTACTTGTAAATAAGCTAAGACATGGAGGGACAGGATGATTTGACTTCCTGGTTGATAACTGTTAAACCCCCCAGTTCTCTGGTTGCCTCGAGTGAAGGATTATCGTTCAAGAGCCAGTGAACCGTCCCCACGCCAGCACTGGCTGCTTGATTGCTCCATGAATGCCTCAAGGAAGCCACACAGCACTGACAGCTGCCTGCTGCTGAAGTGTGTAACTCCAGCGCCTGGAGTCACAGTCCTGGCCATGAGGGTTCGAACCACAGTAAAACGTAAATGACCCTGCCACCATTTCCACTGAGTCCTTCTGCTGGTGGCCCTACAGAGGGGATGCTTGACTAGTGCAAAGGCAACCGTGTTGTGACTGGCATTGTACATAGCACAGACTTTAATTTACATGAGGATGTGCTACGATTGGTCAAACGCCTGTTGGGGTAATATACGCTCTTTGGCTCACTCCTGAGCTTCTGGTGTCACATTAGACCCAACGAGGCTTCTCTCCGGTGGCCTTTCCTTCATCATTTGTGAAACAGGCTGAGCAGGTGACACACGAAAGAAGGAAGCAGTAGCCTGTGAGGCAAACATACTCCCAGTGGTCCCGTTCCTAGGGCAGCTCCCCACCCCAGTCCTCGACTTAAGGGCCTCGCAGAAGGCCCCACTGTCTAATTCTGTCTCACTGGGCATTAGGTTTGTAATTAGCTAGGTAGCGGTAAACTGGGTTTGGTGGCACACACCTTTAACCCCCAGAACTCAAGAGGTTGAGGCAAGTAGATCTTCGTGAGTTCAAGGCCAGCCTGGACTACACAGTTAGACCCTCTCTCAAAACAAATAAACAAGCAAGCAAACACTAGGTAGTGGAAGACACAGTAATTCAAATACTGGCGCTTGACACCTGGCTGGCTGGGGCTCTTGTGTAATCAGTGGCTTCCTTCCCTCCCTCCCCTCCCCTCCCTCTCCTTCTTCTCCCTCCTCCTAGTCCTCCATCTTCTAGACAGGCCCTCCTTACATAGTCAGGGATGGCCTTTAACTCACTGCCTCCCAAGCAGCCCTGAACTCTCAGCAGCCCTCCTGCCTCAGTCTCCTGAGTGCTAGGATTATATTGTGCGCCACTGAGCCTGACTCTTCTTTTTGAACAGGACTGGGATATCGTGATTTTTATCATGCTCACGTTTGGTTTCATTTTTCCCTCAGAGACTCAAAGACTCAAAGAGGCCCAGGAGGTCTTAGAAAGGAGCCATGGAGACTCAGCCTCAGCTTCAAGGAAGCTTCTTCCATTGAGACAGCGAGGCCCAGGGGACAGCAGTGTAGAGGAGCCGAGACCACCGTCTTTGAGATCAATGAACGGGGACCAGGGTGGGGGTAGCAAGGCCGGCAGAGGTGAGGCCTGGAGGCTTATACACAGAAGGAAGGCCCTGTCAGCCCCACCCTGAACCCGCCTGTAGGGGAGAGCCCACAATACTGCCCACGCCCTCTGACACCAGCTGACGAGGGAGTCAATGCAATGGAGAAACTAATGTATTAACCGGATAAAACTTGCACACAAGCTGGGAAGACGAGAAGCGTGGCAGGATTGAGAGAGAGAGAGAGAGAGAGAGAGAGAGAGAGAGAGAGAGAGAGAGAGAGAGAGAGAGAGAGAGAGAGAGTTTTGCTTTCTCTTTTCCTTTTATGTCCTTACCGGTCCTGTACCCCTGTCCACGCCCCTTTGGACAGTACTGTGGCCTCACCCCTACACCTCCTCCTTCACTCTGACTCAACACCACATCCACTCTCCCTGGCCCCCATCACTCGCTCGCACAGCACCGGGTTGGTTTCAGACAGATTTTGCTTCCGTAGTAACTAGCAATGATAAGGCGTGGGGATTCCCATCCGCCCAGCCCACCTCACCCCTGTGTGCTCTCTTCCTCCTCACCGGGTGGGAACTGCTGGCTCAGAGCCAAGTTTCCACACAAAGGCTGTCGCTGGAACCTGCTAGGCCAGATTCCAGGGAAAGGACAGCCTGGGCTCCTCTCTATGCCCCGAGCCCTCAGCAGGCAACCTTCAGGGTCTCACCTGGCTGCCCGGTCTCCCATCTTAAATACTGTTTTCTTTCTGTGTCTTAGCTGACGCTTTGAAAGTCACACATGGGTGGTCACACACACACACACACACACACACACACACACACACACACACACACACACACACACACCACACACACACACACCACACACACACACCACACACACACACACACACACACACACACACACACACACCACACACACACACACCACACACACACACACCACACACACACACACACACACACACCACACACACACACACACACACACACACACACACACACACACACACACACACACACACACACACACACACCACACACACACACACACACACACACACACACACACACACACACCACACACACACACACACACACACACACACACACACACACACACACACACACACCACACACACACACACCACACACACCACACACACACACACACACACACACACACACACACACACACACACACACACACACACACACACACACACACACACACACACACCACACACACACACACACACACACACACACACACACACACCACACACACACACACACACACACACACACACACACACACACACACACACACACACACACACACACACACACACACACACACACACACACACACCACACACACCACACACACACACACACACACACACACCACACACACACACACACACACACACACACACACACACACACACACACACACACACACACACACACACACACACACACACACACACACACACACACACACACACACACACACACACACACACACACACACACACACACCGGACTTCCTGTGCTCTTTCTCCCCGGGGTGTCTAGGCTCTGGCTGTGCACTGCTGTCACTGTCTGCAGGGACTCTCTCTCAAGTGCCCTGTAGAACTGAGCCCTCCTGCCCTTAAGCCTTTGTGACCCCTCCCTTGTCTGTGTGTCTGACTCTCCCAAGCTGCTCTCTGTGCACAGAACTGCGCCCTTGCCCCGTTGCGGGGCAGGTAGAGCACAAGCGCTTGGGCTTAGGGCTACCGTGAGCATACACAGGTCACGGTGTCTGTCTCCACCTCAGGGACAGGTGAGTAATGGTGCTGACTGCCGCCAGGAGGCGCTGCACCCCCAGGCCCCTCCCTGTAGGCTCCGCTGTAAGGAAGGGGACTAGGATGCAGGACGTACTCTGATCGGCTAGGAGGGGAGTAAGACTCCAGGGCATAGGAACCAGGAGCGGGGAGGCAGAAGAAAGTGGAGGGTTTCAGGCAGCCTCCAGGTCCCTCGCTTTCTGGGCGCTCGCGTTTCAAGAGATGAGCTTCTAACCTCTTGCTGCCACCCTGTCTCCCCACCGCTGAGGTTCTGGCAGGTGTTGACTGAAACCTGTCATCTCTTTGGGGAGCATTAGCATCTAAGGCAGTGGTTCTGAACCTTCCTAATGCTGTGACCCTTTAATACAACTCCTCATGTTGCGGTGACCCCCAGCCATAAAATGGTTTCACTGCTGCTTCCCAGCTGTAATTTTGCCACTATCATGAGTCATAGTGTAAACATCTGGGTAGCCTAAACAACTGACCTAAACAACATTAAAGCTTCCAACCCATGGATACAAGTTATCTTTTCATCTGGATAGGTTTTCTCTGACGTCTTCCAGTGATGTCTATGGTTTTTCTTTGTAACTTCTTCACTTTCTTGGACACCAACAATTTGAAGATGGCTTCTGAATGTGTTATGTCCGTGTTGGTACCTCTCCTAGCTGTGTGGCAAAAATCCCTGAGATTCATGTGCGTCATGGGTCCAGAGGGTCTCAGCCCACTGGGGAGTGGGCAGAGTGCTTGACAGCGCGGCTCCTGGTAGCGGTTCCTGTCGTCACGGGGGTCTGGCCGTGGTGGTCGAAAGCCCAGCCCTTCTGAGCCAGTTATGCCCCCGTGCCTTCCAGCGTAGTCACCAAACCAAGTGTGAGTCTGCAGAGAGCATCCAGATCTAAATCTCCACCTCCAGTGCAGGCTGTGACTAATGCTGTGGAATCGGGAAGAATATCTTGTTCCTCATTACCCATCTACCAACATCTAGAGAGCACCCAGGACCGATTCCGAGACCCATGGGGCTGGCTTGAACTAGGACCTACCCCTGTTAGCTGAGACGGAGCAAGTGAGGCTGGCCCCCACTTTAAAGCCGCCAGGTAACAGGTCAAAGCCACCAGCACCAGGCACGGAGCTGCACACAGACTTGTGCAACCCAAACCAAAAGGCTGGAGCAATACAGTTTCTGAATATTCTGAACATTGGAGGGTTCATCAGTTCACAAGGAGACACAAGAATTAATAGGGGACTGGAGGGATGGCCCAGCAGGGAAAGGTGTTGCTGACTGCCTGGGAGCCTGTGTGTGGTCCCTGAGGCCAGTGACTTCAGAGTAGACTGTGTAATCCCCCCACTCCCCATACACACACACACACACACACACACACCACACACACACACACACACCACACACACACAAAACAAAATGCAGAGAATTTAGCAGAGGGAGGTCAAAATTGGTCTTACTCCCTGGCAGAGCTGTTGAAGAATGAGACTTTGGCCCGAGTCATGAGAACATCTGGCCCACAGCTGAGCTGTGTGCCCCTCTCAGGTGCAGGCCTCCCCTGGAGCCCTCCTCTCAAGCTTCAGGGACAAAAGGCCAAGTGTCCTGCAAGCAGGCAGGATCTAGGACAAGGAAAGGGGTGCTGGGCAGCTGGGGCCCCAGTTTAAAACACTAGAGGATAAACCCTCCCTGGGGACTGGGAGAGGGCTGGAAGGTGGCTGCCGCTATTTCCTTAGTAGAGACACAGGAAAGAAAGGAAGGAGTGTCACCTTAGGTGTGTGCACGTACGTGTGTGTGTGTGTGTGTGTGTGTGTATGTGTGTGCAGGTGTGTGCGCACGCATGCACATTTAGAAGCTGTCACTATAGCCTTCCTCGGTTCCTCTGCCTTTTTTTTTTTTTTTTTTTTTTGGTGTGTGTGGTGATGATAAGGACTCTCACGTAGCCTGGAGATCGCCAGTTCCAGTAGACAAGGTCCCGAGGATCCTTCGGGCTCCTCACATGCCAGCACACTTGGACTTCTAGGTGGGTGCTGGGGATCCGAACTCAGGTCCTCAGGGTTATGTGGTAGGCACTGTACACACTGAGCCGTCTCCAAGCCTTCACTGAGAATTCGAAAACACTTATTTAGTGTGTGTGTGTGTGTGTGCGCGTGTGTGCGTGCACACGCGCTTCTGTACATGTGTAAAATAGGTATGTTCATACCATGGTGTGAAGGTACAAGTCAGAGGGCAACTCTAGGGTAGGCATTTGTCTTTCTGCCTTACTCGAGACAGATGCTCTTGCTTGCCTCTATACAGGACAGACTGACAGCCCAGCCTCTGGGAATCCTCCTGTCTCATCTACCATCTCCTGGTCAGATGATGGGATTCCAGATGTTCTAGCCACCACTTTTGTGGTTATTTTAGTCACTGAGCCATCTCCCTGTTAGCTATTTTAATTGAGTTTGACTTTTTATAAAGGTTAATTTTTATTTATGTAAGTCTATGCGAGTGTGTGCTGTGTGCATGCTGGTATCAGCAGAGGCCAGCAGAGGGCAGCAGATCTCCTGAAGGGAGCTGCCCAATGCGGAGGCTGGGACTCGATGGTTCCTCTGGGAGAACAGTGTGTTATTATGTTCCTATTGCTGTGATGACACACCATGACCAAGGAGACTCCCAGAAAGGCGAGTTTATCTAGGCTTGCGGTTCCAGAGGGCTAGCATTCAAGGTGGCTGGGCAAAGGGTAGCAGCAGGAGCAGGAAGCTGATGGCTTTGAACCAAAGGCACACAACCTTCTAGTCCCACTACCAATGACATACTTCCTCCAGCAAGACAACACTCCCGGACACTGTCACCTTCTGGGAACCACTGTGTTCAAATGATGTGGGAACATGGCATTCAAACCCCCACAAGCAGCAAACACTCTAAACTGCCGTCTCTCTAGGCCCTTACCTGAGTTTTAGAATATGTGATGGTTTGGATGAGAAACGTCCCCCATACAATCAGGCATTAGAACACTTGGTCTGCAGTTGGTGACACTTATTGGGAAAGTGTAGATGGTGCAGCCTTTCTGAAGGAAGTCTATCACCGGGGAAGCTTTGAAATATAAAGCCTCTGGTAAGCTGCCTTGCTCCCTCTGCTCTACACTCGTGGTTCAAGACATGTGCTCTCAGCTCCCTGTCCCTTCTTCCATGCCTACCACCGTGATGGGATTCTTATCCCTCTGGAACCCCAAGCTAAAATAAACTCTAATTTATATAAGTTACCTTGGTCATGGCATTTTTGTTTGTTTGTTTTGTTTATTTGATTGGTTTCAAGACAGGGTTTCTCTGTGTAGCTCTGGTTGTCTTGGAACTCACTCTGTAGACCAGGATGGCCTTGAACTCAGAGATTCACCTGTCTCTGCCTCCTGAGTGCTGGAATTAAAGGAATCCGCCACCGCCATCACCCAGCTGGTCATGGTGTTTTCTCACAGCAATAGGAAAATAAACAATATAGAATATTATATTAACTAGTATGCAATATTAAATATACAGCTTTTTACATTCTTGTTCATTATGTATGATCAAGGCATGAAACACAGCTAGTACCCATTAAGCCTCCTCACCTTGTCTGCAGTCAATACTCAAACTGTTTGTTTTCTATGGTTGTAATAAACAACTGTGATCTTAGCTACTTAAAGTGACACCCATCGATTATGTCACCATTCTGTGGGAAAAGTCCCAGCAGCTCAGCTGGCTGGAAGCTCTCCTTGGTTTTGGACAAAGTCGGGTGTTGGCTGGCCAGTCCTTGTCACATCGCTGTGGGACAGAGTGCACTCCAGGTCACAGTTCTCGGACAGAATGCATTTCCATCGAGCCTTCCAGAACATGCCTGTTCATGCGTTCCCTCTCTACCTTTCCTGATGGCCACGCCTCTTCCACCCTCAGACGCAGAAAGGTCCCGCCCAGGTGACTCCTTTCTATCTGTAGATTCCCTTTGCCCAGCGTAGTCACCAGAGCCCCTCTGCTGCAGGCTCCTGTGCACCTGGGCTGGACAGTCCCGCACCGTGTTGGCTGAGGATTCTGGAATGCACCCAGACACACAGCTCCTTTCCCGGTCCGGTGTGCTTCCGTCTTCGAAGGCTGCGGCATGGACCCAGGGGTCTGTAAAGCAGGGATGGGGTAGAGCCGGGTGGGTGGGCACACCCTAGGGACTCCCTGGTAAGCTGCCCTGCTCATCACTCTGCAGTCAAGCCTGTCTTTGGTGCACGAACCCTGCCCCAGTTCGGAAGCCTTCTCCCCAGGGAAATCCACATAGCCAGCTCTCACCCGGTCTTTACAGTGGGGCTCCCCGGCCTGTGGAGCTGGTGTAGGGGAGCAATTTGGAAGCATCTGGAAGCGAGTGAAACCCTAGAATGGCGTCAACAGAGCTTGCCAGGTCATTGTGGGGTGAGCCGAGAAAGCTGATCCAGCAGAGTGACGGCGAACGTGGGCTCGGAAGGTCCCGGGCAGGCCTGCGGACTCGGATGAAAGCAGGCTCAGGGCAAGGCAAGGCTGAGTATATCCGTGGTCTCCTTAGCCACTGTGACACTGCTTTTTGCCCAGTTTCATACTGGCTGTGGCAATTCTTTCTCCTTATCCACACCTAAGGTATTTGCGGAATCTTCTCACAGCAGCTGTCTTCTCTCTGAGTAGGGCTTTAGGTATTTGTCAGGTCCAAAAGAAATTCGGGACAAACGGCTACCTGTGGTGCCTATCAGCATACCAAGGCACATGCTGGCCTCCAGGCTCACTCAGTACCTGTGGTCCTCTCTGCCCTTCTCACCCCACCCCTACACTAAGCTTCTCCAGCTCACCCTTCCCTACCCCAGCTTCTCGTTCCTTCCCGAATAACCCTGCCATTTCCCTCTCTGCTCTCGTTCTGCTCTCGGCCTCCTCTCCCTGCTTGGCCCGGTTCAGTTATGAGCCATGACTGTTCCAGATGCCTCTGGCTGTACTCCCATAGCTACAATGAAACCCTTGTCTGCAGCCATGCCTTGGATTTGACACAGCATTATAGTTAAAGATGGCCCCTAGGCACCCCTTCTTACTTATGTGTGACCCTTTACACGTACCTATCCCATAATATCTTTAACCATCAGCTTCCATTTCTAAGTGCGTTCTCACACCACTGTGACTCAGTCAGCACCAGATCTCTCCTTGCCATCTGAAATTCTGCCCCGAGACAGGAAGCCATCTCCCTTCTCCACAAGCCCCTAGCAACCTTTGCTTTGTCTTGGAGAGGGCGGAGAATCAGTAAGTCAGACATTCTAAGTGTCTAATTGAAACGGTGCATTAATCTACTCTGAGTCTCTTTCCCCTGGTGTCCACCTGACTTCATGGTCCCTCAAATCCACACGGAAGCATGCTTTAGAATTTTCTTTTTTAGGATGGATGACAGCTGTGTGCTTAGGCCTCATCACAGGACACAGGGGCGGGGGCGCGTCCCCATTCTGGGTGCTGTGAACAAGGCTGCGGACTATTGATCTGCAAGTACCTTTCTGAGAGCCTGTGTGCTAGCCTACTCCGTCACCATAGGATAGGGACTCTCTTACCACAAAGTCTTGAGGCTGCGCACTACAAGGGCTTTATGTGGCTCACAGTCCTGCGGTCATGTGCCCTAGCATTGATTTCTCTGTGATAAGGACGGGTAGATGATGTCACTGTGAGAATATGTGCAAGAGGAACTAATTCCACAGTAAGACGAGCCAGAAAGGGGTCTGAGGAGAGGCCAGAGAGGGGTCTGAGGAGAGGCCAGAGAGGGGTCTGAGGAGAGGCCAGAGAGGGGTCTGAGGAGAGGCCAGAGAGGGGTCTGAGGAGAGGCCAGAGAGGGGTCTGAGGAGAGGCCACAATGGTGTTCACAGGGTTCATCTGTCACTTCCATATACTCTGGCTGCCGCCTACTCTGGGGAAGGGCCTTCCTCCTAAATTAGCAAGTGCTTCCAGTAAATGTTCTCACAGAAAGCCCAGAGGAAGGGCTGATTCTAGAGCCAATCAAATTGACAACCAAGATTAAGCTGCAAAGGAGACTCTCATCAGCAGGCTGTTTCTTTCACTTTTCACTACTATTTTAATTTGCATTTTCCTAACCCTTGGAGGCACTAGACACCTCTTTCTGTGCCATTTGTCACAGATTTATCGCTGGAGAAATAAATGTTCCTAGTCCTTTGTCCCTTAAATTAGGCTGCTTGGCTCTGCACAGCTGAGTTAATGTGTTACTTTGTTTTGTGTGTGTGTGTGTGTGTGTGTGTGTGTGTGTGTGTAGGCCTTGTGTGGTAGTTTGAATCTAATTGGCCCAATAAGCTCATGGGGAATGACACTATTGGGAGGCTTTGTTGGAGTAGGTGTGGCCTTGTTGGAAGAAGTGTGTCACTGTGGAGGTGGGCTTTGAGGTTTCATATATGCTCAAGCCACACCCAGCATCTTAGTTCACTTGCTGTTACCTGCTGATCGAGATCTAGGACTCTCAGCTCCAGCATCGTGTCCCGTCATGACGATAGTAGACTAGAACCTCTGAACTGTAAGCCACTTAGTTAAATGTTTTCCTTATAAGAGTTGCAATGGGGGCTGGAGAGATGGCTCAGAGGTTAAGAGCACTGGCTGTTCTTCCAGAGGTCCTGAGTTCAATTCCCGGCAACCACATGGTGGCTCACAACCATCTGTAATGAGATCTGGTGCCCTCTTCTGGTGTGCAGACAGAACACTGTATACTGCAATGGTCATGGTCTCTTTTTTTTTTTTTTTTGGTTTTTACGAGACAGGCTATCGGTCCAGCCCAGCCTCTAACTCACAGAGATCGGCCTACCTCTGCCTCCCGAGTGCTGGGATTAAAGGTGGGCGCCACCACTGCCCGGCGGTCATGGTGTCTCTTAACAGCAACAGAAACCCTAACCAAGACAGTGGTGTTGACTGCCTTTTTTTTTTTTCCTTGACGAACTAACTGTCTACAGGTCTTAAATAGGGGACAAGCCAGGAGTGTGTTCTAGTTAGCAGAACAGTTCCTTGTATCTAGGCCCAACTTTTCCTCAGTTTTCCACAGGCAGTTTTCCGAGTGTTCATGGTGCATCTGTGCCTTGATAACAAATATGGCTGGTTTTCTGTTCTCAGTTTGTTGCATTCATGCTGCTTCTTGGCAACAGTCCAGATTTCCTGCCTACATCTTCACCTTCTGATATTGTTAGGATGAGATCCTCTAGGGTTGTGCAAAGTGATTGTTTTTGACAATGTAAAGAATAAAAAAGGCAAGTTAGGTGGCGGTGGTACACACCTGTAATCCTAGCATCGGGAGACAGAGGCAGGTGGATCTCTGTGAGTTTGAGGCCAGCGAATTCCAGGACAGCTAGAGTTGTTACACAGAGAAATCTTGTTTGAAAAAACTAACTAACTAACTAAATAAATAAATAAATGAATAAATAAATAAATAAAGGCAGGAAAAAGCCGGGTGGTGGTGGCACACACCTTTAATGCCAGCACTCTGGAGGCAAGAGGCAGTAGGTCTCTGAATTTGAGGCCAGTTTGATCTACAGAGGAAATTGGACAGCCAGGGCCACAAAGAGAAACCCTCTCTTGAAAAATCAAAAACTCAAAACAAAAGGGCAGGAAAAGCAAGGTCTCAGCCAGATATTAGTGAAAGTGTGTGCAAACATCCACGTGTGCAAACTCACACAGCAAAGAGACAGATTTCCCAGGGTGAGGCGAGAACCTAGCAGAGCTGATACGCATATTTGCTGGGGAGGGCTGGAGTTTCTCTGTGTTTGAGGAGGGGATGAGTCCCTGTTCTCCAGAAGTGGAGCTGGGTGGTTTGGGGTATTGAAAGGGACTGTGTAATCCAGACAAAGGCAGGAAAAGCTGAAAGTTCCATTGAACAGTTATCCAGGGTTAGGGGAAGACTGTCCCACTGACCAGATCCCTACGAGTCAGGGGAGACAGCTCACTGAGCAGTCCCCGGTTTGGGGAGACCATCAGGTCTCTGTCTTCTAGGGAGAAGCAGGAAGTCGACCATCTTAAATGTTGAAGTGAAAACAGTATAAATCTATCAAGACCTCTTTTCCCGTCTGCCTGCCTGCCTGCCTGCCTGCCTGCCTGCCTGTCTGTCTGTCTGTCTGTCTGTCTGCCTGCCTGCCTGCCTGCCTGCCTGTCTGTCTGTCTGTCTGTGTGCCAGGACCAGTTTGACTCCTAGTCCCTACGTTCTCTCATTATTTCTACAGGACACTTCGTGCATGCAGTCTGGAGACAGCTTCACTTTGAAGAGGGTCACCCCTCCTGAAATCTGATGTTACCCACCTTCCCTCCCCTGTTCCTCTAGAGCTGTCTCCTCCCTCCCCTCAGAGGCAGCACTGCTCTCTGCGCGTTGTTTCTAATTGCGTCATTTCCCTTGCAGCTTTGAGGTAGACTGCAGAGCAGAGTGGGCCGCTATGAAGTAAGCAAGCAGGAATGTCTCTAACTGAGCGGCCCGTGAGGCTGCTCCTCATTGGTGGTCAGGAACTCAGAAGGGCCCGCATCCATCCATCCCTGCTCCACCCACCCCTCCTTGCCTTGATGCCTGCTGGAGACACCAGCTCAGAGGACAGGGGTGCCAGGGGGCAGCTGCACAGGGAACAGCCATGAACAGAACTCACAGGCATAAGAGAACCCACAGCCCCTCCCATCCTCTAAACCCAGGACTGTGCTGCCCTCTGGCTGGTGGCGTGGAGGTAGACCAGAAAGCAGCTGAGCTGTCTTTCCCTGCTTTTCTCTATGAGAAGACAAAGAGGGGAGCGTGCCAAACATGCGGCACTTTGAACCGGAGGCTATGGTGTGCACAGAGTGCCCTGTAAGTGTCTAGGGTCGAATCTCCTCCACGGAGCAGTGTACCTACCCTCTTTGGGAGACAAAGCTAAGCAATGCAAGAGGGAGATTCCACTTCTCTCCAGACCAGGTAATGTTCTGGACATTCCAAGAAGAAAGAGGAGGAGGAAGAGGAGGAAGAGGAGGAGGGAGAGGAAGAGGAGGGGAAGATGAAGGAGGAGGAGGATGAAGGATTAAGAAATATGGTGATGTGCGGCTCTTGGCTGGGTACCAGCACCAAAGAAAAATAAGCAGCAATGAAACAGGAAGGAGCTGTGAGGATGACGGAAGGCAACAATCGCTCTGTGTCACCTCCACGCCTGTGAGCCATCACAAGTATCCCAGAATGCTGAGCGCACCTGGGGAACCGTGAGCTCCCAGCTGCCACGCCTTCACCCCACCAGCAGGGACTCTAACCCTGGAGTGGCAGGTCTAATTAAACGCCTTCTTTTGTAAGTTGCCTTGGCCCTGGTGTTTCTTCACAACAACAGAAAGTTACTAAGACGCTTTCCCACCACACCACACCCCTTTATTCTTTACACCTTTTTACACTTCACTACACTGCTCAATAAAGCTTATTGATGATACACAGCCACACTCTAAACTTGCACTGGGACGATCAATGCCATTGGGCATCTCATCCTATATTTATTGGCATTTTAAATACTTAATTAATTAATTGGTGAGTGTGTGTCTGCATACATGTGTGTGCATGCCATAGCGCACGTGTGGGGGTGAGAGGATAACTTTTCAGGAGTCAGCCCTCCCCCAACCTTTTAAACTGTCTTAGTCACTGTTCTATTGCTGTAAAGAGACACCACCACCAAGACAACTTATAAAAGACAGCATTCAGTTGGGGTCATGCTTACAGTTTGATAAGGTGAGTCTATGACCATACGGCAGGAATCGCGGCAGCAGACAGGCAGGCATGGTGCTGGAGCAGTGGCTGAGAGCTCATAACCTGATCTGCAGGCAGGAGGCAGAGAGAGAGAGAGAGAGAGAGAGAGAGAGAGAGAGAGAGAGAGAGAGAGAGAGAGAGAGAGAGAGAGAGAGAGAGAGAGAGAGAGAGATTGGGCCTGGTGTGCACTTTTGAAACCTCAGAACCCATGCCCAGTGACACACTTCCTCCAACAAGGCCACACCCCCTAATCCTTCCTAAACCGTTCCACAAACTGGGTACCAAGCGCTCAAACACATGAGCCTGTGGGGGCTGCTCTCATTCACACTGCCACAAGTTGTATCTCTCTAGTTACATGTGCTTCTATGTCGTGTGTGTATTTGAGCTTCCAGCAGATTCTCCCGTCTCTACCTCCCATCTCACCGTAGGAGTTCCAGGATTACGGATGTGGATCACCATCTAGCTGTCTACATGGGACCTGGGGATTGAACTCAGGTCATCAGGTATGTACACTTTTACCCATAGAGCCATCTCTCTGCCTGTGGAGGTTTGAATAAAAATGGTCCCCATAGATCCATAGGGAGTGGCACTATCAGGAGATGTGGCCTTATTGGAGTAGGCGTGGCTTTGCTGGAGGAAGTGTGTCACGAGGGGGCAGGCTTTGAGGTATCAGAACCCCAAGCCAGTTACTTCCTGTCGCCTGCAGATCTGGGTACAGAACCCTCAGCTCCTTCTCCAGCCCCACGTCTGCCTGCATGCCACTATGCTTCCTGTCATGATGATAACGGACTGAACCTCTGAAACCAAAAGCCAGCCCCAATTAAATGTTTTCCTTTGTAAGAGTTGGTGCTGTCATGGTGTCTCTTCACAGCAATAGAAACCCTAACTAAGACACTGCCCTGATTGGCCTTTGGGTTGTTTTCGTGTTTGTTTGTCTGTTTGCTCTCTTGAGCAAAGTTTTGCCTCATAGCACAGGCTGGATTCTCCTGTCCCATCATCCTCCTGAAGGCTGGAATTACAGGTACTTGCTTCCACATTCATCTAGTTTTTGGCCTTTTTGCTTTTATGAGGCATGTGTTCAAACATGGTCATACCTGCGGCAAACAGGAACCAAGTGCAATCGGAACATGAGGGGTTCTTCTTCTTCTTCTTCTTCTTCTTCTTCTTCTTCTTCTTCTTCTTCTTCTTCTTCTTCTTCTTCTTCTTCTTCTTCTTCTTCTTTATTTTGTTTTTTTGAGACAGGGTTTCTCTGTGTAGCCCTGGCTATCCTGGAACTCACTCTGTAGACCAGGCTGGCCTTGAACTCACTGAGATCCAACTGTCTCTGCCTCCCGAGTGCTGGGGTTAAAGTCGTGCGCCACCAACGCCTGACTGTCAGGGTTTTTGAAGCCTCCTCAGGAAGGCACAGGCCTGGGATGGCAGGCTTCAGATGTGGAGGAGAGATGTGGTCACACCTCCTAATCATAGCAATGGAATCTGAAAACTGAGGAGGTGGGTGTGGTGGATGTACCCATAATTCTAGCACTGAGGAGGTAGACACAGGAGGATCACGGTGTCCTCAGTTACAGTGTGATGGGGATGTCCTTCTCTATGCTGTGAATATATGTTTCTCTTACTGGTTGATGAATGAATTGGCCATTAGCCAGGCAGAAGTATAGGCAGGGTTACCAGACTAGGAGAATTCTGGGAAGAGGAGAGCAGAGAGCAAACCAGAGGGAGATGCCATGTAGCTGCTGGAAAGGTAGGACACCCAGATATTCTCCGACAACATAAGACCATGTGAAGATACACAGATTAATAGTTACAAAATAATTAAGAGAGAGCTAGCCAATAAGAAACCCGAGCCATTGGCCAAACAGTTTATAACTAATATAATAAGCCTCTGCGTATTTATTTGGGATTGAAGGGCAGCAGGACGGGGCAGGACAGAAACTCTGTCTACAATAGTGAGTTTCAGGCTAGCATGGTCTACAAGAAGCCCTGTCTAAAACAAAACAAAGCAAAACCCAAAACAAAGCAGGTGGGGTGTGTTGTGCCCAAGTCACAAAGATCCCCAGAGACCGCCAGGAAGACAGACCCACCAAACTGTAAAAGCAAGGTTTTAATAGTATTGATTTTTCATCCAACCATGACAGGGACCCTGTCTAGCAAGCTGACGCAGCAGCCTCCAGAGGGAGTGAAGTTCCCTGTCTACTGCTAGGTTTTCAAGACAAAAGTTACAGCATTACATCAGTAGGTAAGGGTTGGTTTCTGATTGATTGACATTTGGGAACATTTCTCAAAGTCATATTTTGGCATGAAATACCTGTGTGCCAATTATTTTCATTGGTCAGTGCTGAGAGGGAACATTCTGTGGTTTTTATGGCTTTGTTTGCAGGTGGCCTGTTGTACATAGATACCAGTAATTTTCAGAACTTCCTGGAGACTACAGGGGAGGTTTTGGTCCCTGCTGGAGTTTCTTTGTGGCCAAACAGTTCCCAGGAACCAAGTATCTAGGAGGCTGGAGGGGGGGGTCTGGAGTTTCTTTGTGTTCAGTTTTGGCCCTAGACTCCAGGAGGCCAGAGGATCTGGAGTTTCCTTGTGTCAGAGGCCTATGAGTCTTTCCTGTAGCCTGTCATGGCTGCTAAAGCAGGGAGCTGAGTGAGGGTCTGGTCCCTTCATTTCTAAATTACTAGAAGTGAAGCCTTTGAGTTTAGTTTACCCCTTTTAGGGTGCTGGCCCAGTTGGTAAAATTCTATAGCCCGGAATCTGCAGGGTGGGGTGAGGGGTGGAGACAAGCCAGTCTCGGCCTAACCAAGAAGAACCAGATCTAGGTTCAGTGAAAGACTCTCAAAAATAAATGACAGAAAATTGACCTCTGACATCCACATGTGAACACGTGGACTAGCATACCCATATACACCTCACATATGCACACTGAGCCTGCATGTGTGTGTGTGTGTGTGTGTGTGCGCGCTCACACACACACACACACACAGACACATACACACAGACACACATACTCAGACACATCTCAGACATACATACATAGACACACACACACACACAAACACACATACTCAGATACATCTCAGACATACATAAATAGACACACAGACATACACACACACAGACACATCTCAGACATACATACATAGACACACAGACAGACAGACAGACACACACACACACACAGATTTAAGACTGTTGCTGATATAAAACACCACCACCAAAGCAACTTGTAGAAGGAAGTTTACTTGGGGCTCCGGGAGGCAGAGGGTTGACTCCATCGCCACCGTGGAGGGAATGGTGGCAGCGGGCACACTTGTGGTGCTGGGCAGCAGCCGAGAGCTCACACCTGCACTCACAGACCAGAGACAAAGAGAGGACCCGTGGCTTCCTCTCTCAAGGCCCACCTCCCCCCCTTTCTCCACCCTTTCCCAGCCCAGGAGGGTGTCTAGGCACCGCCCTTGATCCAGAGCCCTGGGACCGAACGCCACAGTGTTTGCATAATGAGGTGGGGCTGAACTGTGCTCGCCATCAGGTTCTGCGGTCGAGTATTATTTTCAGGTGTGTGGCTTTTGTTGATGCTGCATTTGTGAAACTCCGTGAAGCTGTGTTACTGTGTGTCTATAACACCTGGCGGTCTTAAAGAGCTGAACGGTCGGTCAGTAGCGAGGCAGGAGCAAGGACGGGCAGGGCTGGCAGGCAGAGAGTGTAAACAGCCGGAGAACGGAGGAAGAGCCGCACAGCCGCACAGCCGCACAGCCGCACAGCCGCACAGCCGCACAGCCATCCAGGGAGTAAGATTTGCAGAAGTAGAGCAGGAAAAGCCCAGAGGCAAAAGGTGGATGGGATAACAAAGATAAGCTAAGGCCAGGCACTCGTAACTAATACCGAGTCTCCGTGTGTGATTTACTTGGGAGCTGGGTGGCGGGTTCCTCCAAAGGAGAAAACAACTTACTTCAGGGTTCTGTGAACTGCCCTGGGCTACTAGATACACAGGTCCCCACTGCCCTGCCATCTCCCCGCACGCACACACCCGACCTGCCCTTGACCTCTGCCTGGCTCCTGTCGCCTGCTCCTGGAAACCCGGAGTGCTGAGGAGTGCTGAACCCTATTTGAAGTGGAGTCCATGGGACGCTTCCAAGATGCTCCTGTACGTGGCCACCTCCTCCAGGCTAGGCTGGGGCAGCTGATGGGATCTGGGAAGTGGGGGTCCTGGGCTCTTACCTGAATCCCATCACTGCCTGGGTGTAATGGGAAGTCACGTTTGTCCACGTCCACCCCCCTTTGACTTTTTAAAATAAATTTTTGTTTACTTATATTTTGTGTATGAGTGCTCTGCAGGCCAGCAGAGGGCATCAGATCTCATTATAGATGGCTGTGAGCCACAATGTGCTTGCTGGGAATTGAACTCAGGTCCTTTGAAGAGCAGCCAGTGCTCTTAACCACTAAGCCATGCCGCTAGCCCCTCACTTTGGTTTTTTGAGACAGGATTTCTCTGTGTAGCCTTGGCTGTTGCTCTGTAGACCAGGCTGGCCTCGGGTTCACAGAGATCCGCCTGTCTCTGCCTCCTGAGTGCTGCGATTAAAGGCAGCACCACCAAGTTTACTTCTCTTCAAGGGGGTTGCACTCACTGGCACCATGCTGAGGCTCTGGCCACTCCTCTCTGGGCAGCCTTGAGGAAGCCATGGTTTGAGTCTGTACTGAGTTTGCAGTTGCCAATGGCAGACCAGATCACTCTCTGCAACCCATGTACAGCAGACAGCTCTGAGAGCCAGGAAGCAGGCTGTTTGCTGTCTCTCAGGGGCACAGATCTAGCAAAATCTGATGGTGCTCTCCTTCCAGTGGGAAAGTCTGCCAGAGCCCCCTACCCCTGCTTCCCCAGAGGTGCTCAGACAGGCTGGCCCTGGCTATCTGATAGTGACCTTGCCCAGGAGCTGGAGGACCCCAGGCCATTGCAGACACTGCTCTGAGGCTTTGTGCAAGTCTAGTTTGTCTGCAGCCCTGGCTTTCTCCTCACAGGCTGGTTCCCTGGAATCCAAGCTCAGAGCTGCTAAGTGCAACCTCAGAAGAGCCTTGCTGTGCCTCTTGGGAAGACCTGCGCAGCATTGCATGGGTCAGCCATAGCCACCCCCGCCCCCGCTAAACCTCCTAGCAGACAAATTGACCTAGAGCCATGGTTCTCCAAGCTGTGTAGACTCTAATGAGCCAGGATCCGGACCAATGAATTCAGAGGGAAAATTGAACAGGGATCTTTTTTTTTTAGGGGACATTTTAGTTAATAGAACTTTCTAGCTCCACAGGTGCCAGGGCTTGTAATCCCAGCTGCTTGGGAAGCTGAGGCAAGTTCAAGGCCAGCTCCAACAATTTCCCTTACAAATGTTTGAGCTGGATGAGAATACCAGAGAACTGTCTGCACTGCGGGGCAAATCGACAGGACCCCAGGATGGCCCCGGAACCCAGCCTCACAGCGAGCTCATCAGGGCTGCTCCTGGAGTCATGCCCGCACTCAAGGCCCTAGTACCTGCCACGGTGGGACTTACGGGTTCTCAACAGCTGCTGTCGCCAACATTTTGATAAATGTCTTAGGAAACGGAACTATTTTAAGGGGTAAGAATCAAAGCAGAACGTGGTATCAGAGTGCCCAAGGGTGGCAGTGGAGCCTGAGGCTTCCGGCGACTGGAGTGGGCACAAGCCAACATCCTGAGACCTAAAGGCAACTCTAGCTTCATGGGCTGGAGAGGAAGACCAGGTTGCTGGATCTGAGGGATGAAGGTGACGGCTCTAACTGGATCTGTGATGTAAACTCAGGGTCACCCAGCTGTCCCCAGATGTCTTGCCTACATCCTTGGCTTAAACGCTGCCATCCTGACCTCAGGACATCTGTCTGTGGTGCTGTCTCCTCTGAGGTCTGAAGACCTGGCGGGGGAGGGAGAGCGGGGGAGGATGACAGGTCTGTCTTGTCCACACCGACGTCCGCAACACCAGGCGACACTCTCCACATGCAGGTGTTATGAATGGTGTTGGACAGCATGGACTTCCCGTCACACGACACGTCGTGACATCTCTGGTGAGCTGACAAGGGATGGTTTGAGGGTTGCTGGATGTTGAACCCGGAGCCTTGTGCCCATGACTGGCACGTGTCTACACTGACCCACACTTCTAGCCTTAGAGAACAGATTCTTTTCTTTTTAATTGGAAAAAGTTTTCACTTCTCAACTTTCCCACTTAGAGAAACCATTATCTAGATGGATATGCTGAAGTAAGAAACCACTACAGGCCGGGCGTTGGTAGCTCACGCCTTTAATCCCAGCACTTAGGAGGCAGAGGCAGGCAGATCTCTGTGAGTTCGAGGCCAGCCTGGTCTACTGAGCAAGTTCCAGGACAGCCTCCAAAGCCACAGAGAAACCCTGTCTTGAAAAAACAAAAACAAAAAAACAAAAACAAAAAAACAACAACAAAAGAAACCGCTACAGGAAAGCAAGAATTTCCAAAATCCATCTCAATCTTCTTTTTTTCCTTTCCTTTAAAAAAAATTTAAATTAGAAACAAGTTTGCTTCACCTGTCAATCCCAGCTCCCTTTCCCTCCCCTCCTCCCCTGCCCCCTCTAACCCCACCCAATCCCCACTTCCCTCCCCAGGGAGGGTAAGGCTCTCCATGGGGGATCTCCAGAGTCTGTCATGTCATCTGGGGCAGGGTTGAGGTCCTCCCCCATGTATCCAGGCTGAGAGAGCATCCCTTCATGGGGAATGGGCTCCCAAAGTCCATTTGTATGCCAGGGATAAACACTGATCTACTACTCAAGGCCCCATAGGTTGCCCAGGTCTCCTCACTGACTCTCACACTCAGGGGGTCTGGACCAGTTCCATGCTGTCCACCCAGCTGTCAGTCTGGGGTCCAAGCGCTCCCCCTTGTTCAGGTCAGCTGTCTCTGTGGGCTTGGTCCCTTTGCTCATCACTCCTCCCTTTCTGTCACTGGGTTCCAGGGGTTCAGTTCACTGTTTAGCTGTGGGTGGCTGCCTCTGCTTCCATCAGCCACTGGATGAAGGCTCTAGGATGGCATACAAGGTAGTTATTGGGGAGAGGCTTTTAAGGTAGCCTCTCCACTATTTCTTAGATGGTTAGTTGGTGTCATCCTTGTTGATCTCTGGAAATCACGCTGGTACCAGATCTCTTTCAAACATATATGGCTCCCTCTATTATGGTATCTCTCATCCTGTTCTCCTCTGTTCTTCCCCGACTCAACCTTAATCCATCTCAAAAGGAAATGAGAACATGACCAGGAGGCGAGGTCACAGCTGGAGAGGAGAAAGAGGAGAAAGAGGGGAAAGAGGGGAAGTCTTTGTCAAAGGCGTGCAGCCCAGATGGTCAGGTTTTAGTGGAGCACTAGAATCAGGGAGTGGCCAGGAACTTCTCTACCTGGGATACATCAAGACATGCGGGGGTGGGGGGTGGGGGGGCACGGCATCCCCTGGAGTCCAGGGAGTGCCTGGACTTCATGTACACTAATGCTTTCTGGATGATTCTGAGTTAGGGCCCCATTGCTTTAGAAAGTTAGAGATGTGCTCTTTACAGCTTCCAGACTTCTTGAGCGTATCTTCCGTTTTTGCAGGAACTAGTCATTCCCCCCCGCCCCCAGTGTGTGTGAGATGCATGTGAATGACTGACGTCAACCCGAGGGGTCACTCCTCAGGTGCTGTCTATCTTGGTGTTTTGAGACAGAGACTCTCATTAGGGCCCAGAGCTCACTGATTTGTTCCTGGCTTTTAAAAATGCCTGCGTGACAAGAATTTCACTGAGCCATCTCCCCAGCCCAGGCTTCTCTTTTAGAGATGGCCAGACCCTAGGACTCACTTTCCAAAGCAACCTCCCCCCCCACGCCAGCTTGGGGGCAGGTTCTGGATGGGAGGTGCAGTCAGTCTCTATGCTAACAGCCCAGGGCCCCCCAGAAGCCATCAGTGAAGGGGGGTCTGGTGTAATGGGAGTACCCATTGACAGATTTACATTTCCTCTCTTCCCACAGGTCAGGGAGTCCCCTTCCACGGTGTCACCTGCCTGTTTGTGCCCCTGGGCCTGAGCGTTTGCATCCAGATGGGCTGTTCACTCATGCTGCTGTTCAAGCCCAAGGCAAGCAGGACAGGCACGGTGGGTATGGAGCAGGGAGAAAGGTCTCACCCGGCCCTGTAACACCTGGCGCTCCAGCAAGCCTCCTGTTGGTCCCGTGTGCTACCCACGCGTGTAAACTTGCCTCTGCTCTCCCTGAACCAAGATTTAAAAGAGGCAAAGTATTAACACACGTTTCAGGGCTAGATAATTTCTGCTGCAGCTGGGAAGATAGTGGCTGTGAGGACAAGAGACAGCTTGCAGTAATCTGGGGACCCAAAAAATACCCAGGAAGGGAAACGGCAAGAGACAGATAGGATGGGGGGACCACGGAAACCTAGACTCACTGTCACTGTTTGAATGTGAACTGACCATGTCCCATGGACTCCTGTTTGAACATTTGGTGGCCTGCTGACAGTGCTATTCTGGGAAGCAGGGGAGCCTTTGTGAGGTGGGCCTGGAAGTATTTTTGGTTGTTGTTATTTGGAGACAGGGTTTCACTCTATAGCCTTGGCTCTCCTGGAACTTGATCTCTAGACCAGACTGATCTTGAGCTGAGAGATCCACCACCTCTGCCTCACGAGTACTGGGATTAAAGACGTGCGCCATCAGGCCTAGCCCGTTTCGACTTATTTGCTGCTGCTGCAATGTGGCCATCCCAAGCTTCCACTGCCACAGAAGCCACGGGTCACATCTTCCCGCCAGGACAGACTGTGCTGTCTGGAACCACTAGGTAAAATCGGCTCCTCCCCCTGACTGCTCCTGTCAGATACCTTGTGGTCATTAAAACTCATGCTGTGACAGGTGTGGTGAGTCTCATCTGTCATCTCAACACTTAGTAGCCTGAGGCAGGAGGATTACTATGACTTTGAGGCCAGTCTGGGTTACATAGTAAAATCTCAGAAAAACAAGTAAAAAATAAACCAAATCAAAACAAAACAAATTTAACTTTCAGGTCGGCCAAGGCTATATAGAGACCTTGTCCACTCAACACAAAACATTGATCACTTCCCCAGTTGGTAGCCCCCAGATCCATCGAAGCTACTGGCTTATTTGAAAATAACTGTACGCACATCGTGCTTGGTGTGTGGAAGCAAGTGGGTGTAGGATAAGAAAGCCAAATGAGGCTGAGCATGGTGGCGCTCGCCTTTAATCCCAGCACTGGGGAGGCAGATCTCTGTGCGTTCCAGGCCAGTCTGGTCTACAAAGTGAGTTCCAGGACAGTCAGAGCTGTTACACAAAGAAACCCTCATCTTAAAAACAAAACAAGCGCCGGGCAGTGGTGGTGCATGCCTTTAATCCAAGCACTTGGGAGGCAGAGGCAGGCAGATCTCTGTGAGTTAGAGGCCAGGCTGGACCGACAGCCTCCAAAGCAATACAGAGAAACCCTGTCTCATAAAACCAAAAAACAAAACAAACAAAAAATCCAAATAAGAATGGGGATGCTGTGGGCTTGTGGACTCATTCATATTGTCTGATCTGCACACCAGTGAGTGTGCAAATGGCATTTCTGTATGTCTCAGGCAGGAGACTTATCGTGGGAGGAACATTTGCTAGAAAAAGTTGCTGTCAGCAGACACAATCATCAGATTGAGCCTTGAAGACAAGGAATGCCAGTGCTTGCTCTAAAGACAGCCATGTCTTAAACGGGGAAAAGAGTCATCATGAGTCAAAACTTCAAAAATACAGTTAAAGTCTATAAGAAGCCAGCCAGCTCTTACGTAATTGTCACAATTGCCCTGTAATGCACTTCTTCATGCTGAGTTATCTTATCAAAATTCCCAATGCTGGGTATATATGTTGTGTAGACTTTTAGAGAGTTTGTTTTTCGAGACAGAGTTTCTCTGTAGCTTTGGAGCCTGTCTTGGAACTAGCTCTGTAGATCAGGCTGGCCTCGAACTCAGAGATCCACCTGCCTCTGCTTCCCCAGAGTGCTGTGATTAAAGGAATGTACCACCACTGCCCTGCTGACTTCTAGAGACTTTGAGGGCACTGAGATTGACTTGATCTTTGAGTTGGTGTAAAAATACCTTTTGCCAGGTGAAATAGTGCATACAATCCCCATGTCTGAGAAGCAGAGGCAGGGGAATCCCTGTGAGTTCCAGAGCAGCCAAAGTTATACAGCGAGATCCTATTTTTATCTTTAAAAAAAAAAGGCCTTTTGTATGGTTTCATGTAACATTTCTCCAGATCTTAGGTGTGTGTAGGTGTGGTGATCCATAGTGACATCTGATCCCTCTGCCCCGGGACTTGGGTACCTATCCCAGCACTTTAACTAGTTTGAAAGCTGGGCACACACAGTGACCCAGCCACAGGGATGCACTTTGAAGACTTGTGTGTGAGCATGATACATGTGTGCAGCTGTCTGTGGAAGCCAGAAGAGTGTGTCAGATCCTCTGGAGTTGGAATCACAGGTGGTTGTTAAGGTGTCCCATGTGGGTGCTAGGAATCGAATTTGGTCCACTGGCTCAGCTCTCCAGCTGGGGACATCTCATTTACTACTTGGTCTCCCTCCTAATGAACATAGCTTATTAGCACACGGGAGTGTTGATGCTTGCAAATCTATGCTTGCTTGTGTGTGCATGTGTGTGTGTGTGTGTGTGCATGTGTGTGTGTGTGTGTGCTCAGCTGAAGGGCCTGGGGGCCTGGAGAACCGCACTGAGTTTAGATTGTAGATTGGAAAACGCATCAAGGAGCTGGGTATATGGTCATGGTTTTAGAATCCAGGAGAAAGTCTGGAGGTCTGGCCGAGGAAGCCAGGAAGCCGGCAGAAGCCTGTTGTTCTCACAACAGAGACATTAGCAAAGCTCACAAGTGGGCAAGGTCAGTCATGTACCTCCAGAGTGATGGGTGCCATGAACGCCTGCTAGGTTAGTACAGGGTGCAGTACTGAGAAGGCCCTTAGCTGCTGGGTGGCCAGATCTTCCCAGGAGGGTGCTTAGATCATGACCAAGGGGAGAGCTGCGGCTGAGCTGGGGCAAAGACCTAAGCCAGGAATGAGCTCAGCCGTCAGGGCCGGTGCCGCCAGGGCTCTGGCAGAGGCAGGTGGAGACAAGCGACTCAGCTCAGAAAACTGAGATGCTGTCCCCATGGGAGAGGCAACAAGGGTTTCTGAGTGTTGCTATTAGAACAGGACCCAGGGTCAGTGGTAGCTGACTCGGAAGAGGAAGGTAGGAGCATAGCCACCTTTCAAAAGGTTTTTCTTCTTTAACTAGAGCAACAATTCTCAACCTGTGGGTCACGACCCCTTTGGGCAGAGGGTGTCAAACAGCCCTTTCACAGGGTCACACATCAGATATTTACATTACGACGGTAGCAAAAGTACAGTTGTGAAGTGCCAAGGACCTCATATTGTGGTTGGGGTCACCACAACACGAGGAACTCTATCAAAGGGTCCCAGGTGAGAACCACTGCTCTAGAATGTATTCATTGAACAAAATACGGGCTTCTTCTCATGACACGTTCTCACTCTGTAGACCAGGCTGGCCATGAACTCAGAGATCCACCTGCTTCTGCCTCCAGACAGCTGTGGCTAATGGTGTTTGCTACTTCTCCTGGTCAAAATACGACTTTATACTTTCTAATGTATCACATACTTGCTCAGCAACACCCTTAGCCCCCTTATTGTTACCCTTCTTCTTTTCAGGGGCTTTACAGTTACCACTGACAGACCCAGGGACTGCTGTGGCACAGGTGTCCCCTAAGTCTTTATGTTGAATCTTCATGTCCAGTACCCAGCCCAGTAACTTGTCTTCTTCTTAGCACATGGGCCTGCTGACGACTTGAGCTTGGTGGAAAGAAACAAGCTTCCGTTGTAATCTATCCAGTTTATGGGCAGACTCTGCTGTTGGAATTAGTGACATTTTGGGGTGCACACAGGGCAAGAAAAAGGTCAGTTAGATATGAGCTGGGCTGCACCCTGCCCTGCCACTTCCCACGTGGCTTTGGACACGATTCCCACTCCATGCTTAGTTTGTGTTCAGTAGGGGACAGTCACCCCACTCCATGCTTAGTTTGTGTTCAGTAGGGGACACAGTCACCCCCACTCCATGCTTAGTTTGTGTGTTTAGCAAGGGGACATGGTTAGGTCCGTATTCTGTTTCTCCCCTTGAAGTGAACACACTATCCTGTCACTGTGTCATAGATCCAGACACAGCTTGGGTCAGGGTCAAAGGGCATGAGCAGCAGCGTGGGTGTATGGGAATCAGTGCAGGGGACAGTCCCCCAGGCATGTGTTGCTGCTGTGTTAATAGGTCTGCAGTGCAGCTGTTTCTCGGTTTTAGAGGGGCCAGCAGGGGCAGATGAGTGGACAGATGAGGCCACTGCACGGGGACACCTCCTGGGACTCAGCATGTCTGTCAGGTCTCACGTGGAGGCAGAGCCAGGTGGCCCAGAGGAAACAGTGGGCAGAGGCAGCAGGAGGAAGCTTGCTCTGGGTTGCCATGGAGAAGGGAACTTGAGGGAAAAACAAGAAAGCATTTAAGCTTTAAGATCGTAGACAGAGACAAGTCCCTTAGCTGACGAAGCGCGAGGGGAGGGTCCTGAGCAGAGCTGACCTGAGAGCAGACCTGAGAGCTGAAGGCAGAGCAGGCAAGGAGAGCAGGAAGAGGTCAAGGGTCACACATCTGAGCAGAAAATCACCCTGACACTCCCCTTGACACAAGAATGGAGTGCTGAGCGGACATTTCAGATGTCTGGGACACTGCCTGAGAAAGCCCTTTTGAGGGACGGCTGATGGGCAGTCCAATGGCAGAGGCCTTCGCACAGTTCCAGTGAGCAAAGAAGAACCCAGGGAAGCAGGCACCCCGGAGGGCCCAGCTGGTCAGAGGGACGGGAGGAAGCATGCTGGAGGCAGAGAAGCTGGTTACCTGCCCCACTCCTGGTTACCTGCCCCACTCCTGGTTACCTACCCCCCCACTCCTGGGGCTCCTCAGAAGCCTTCCAGGAGGAAGTGCTCTGGCTTCCCTTCCTCTTCCCCTGGTAGAGTCCAGGATTCAGGCGAGAAAGAAGGAGCCACAGGCAGCCAGAGGTGGTGTTTCTCTCTTTTATTTAAAAACAGTGCTTCATTACCGTTTGCAAAGGCTGAGGCAGGGCTCCTCCTTTGCTTAGAGTTTATAAAAGCCAGCAACATGATCAATAATTTATACACATGGAGAGTAATACAAAAAATAAGGAATAAAAGCTAAAGATCTAACTACTCCAACCTTCACAATTCCAGCTACTTGATAATAATAGGAGTAACCCAATGAATACTGTATGGTCTGAAAGCTACTATACAATATGGTTCTTAGGGGGGGGAGGGAATTAGAGACTGTCACAAAGCCCTGGGTGCTTCTCTGGAGTCGGCAGGGAAACAAGACCCTGGGCAAGCAGCTCCGGTGTCCTAGGGGGCTGATTGTGAGAGGACAGGAGGGAAGGAGACATGGCTAGATGGTCAATTGTACAAGCATCCGAGTTATGCCCCCATGCCCCGGTGCTACCTGTCTTGCCATGGGGAACTGCACGAGCTAGGCAGGCCACTCCTTGCCACAGGGATGTGGAGAAGAGAGGCTCTGCGGGACTTCGAGCCCTGAAAAGATTGAGACTCAGAAGCCTAGAGCCTCAGTCTGCTCTGCAGCCTTGCATGTGTCAGCCCCAGGGCGGCTCTAGCCATTCACAAGCATAATGGTGACACAAGGGGAAAACTCATGTCCCTTAGGGGAAAAAAGAGGGGTCAGTTCATCACTCGATATATAATGCAGCCAAATGAGCTGCCCAACAAGCACGCACACACAAAAATACTGTGAACAGAAAATATAAGAAAACAGCTAAGCTAGGAGTCCTGATGGGGACAGACAGCCGTTCGAGCATGTCAGTCCCCAGAAAAACCAAACCAAAAGCATTTTCTGAAAAACTCAAAAACTTGCGTGCCCCTGGGAATCTGGCATTGGTAACCGGAGGGGGAGGGGAAGGAAAGAGCATCGCTGTTCCCTTTTTGCCTGCCAGGGTGAACGCAGCCCCCCCAGTGCTGGCATGTACACAGAACCACCAGACAGGGCTGCCCCAGGCTGGAGGTCTTTGTCAAGGCAAGCTTGAGTTTTGGCTGATGAGCAGTTCTCAGTTACCAATCCCTGCCAGCCAGCACCACCATGGCTGAACTCATCTACCGTTTTTCCTGAGTACACTGTAACTGGCTACAGTTTCGGTAACTTGCATAAGAACATGGCTTCCACAGCCAACCAAAGTATTTCAGGGACATGTGCCCCCTGGCTCATGTCCAGCGCCTCACTCAAGAGTTTGGCAACCTGTGGTAGTTGGTGAGCCTTTCGAAAGGAAAAGTTGCCAAGGACTGTCCTGCACTCAGTAACTTAGAGGACACATGCTGGTTAGGACACCCAGAGCCTGCTTGGGACAGGGCCCTGCTTCCCGCTCTGGCTCGGGCATGCGATTGCCTGGCTGTGAGGAGCAGGGGTGAAGGAGTACACAGGAGAGGGAAAGGGTGGGAAGAGGCTTCCGGACAGCAACGTTTCCAAAAATAGAGTGTTTTATGCAACAGAGAATCAAGTGTCACTGGTGTATACTACAAATGGTCAGACATTCTCAAGAGCATGACAAAATAAAACACACGTTTACATTAGATGTTCACCGTGCCCACTATTGTTTCCTATCTGAAAACAGTGCAAACAGGTAACTTATGTTTTAAAACACCACAACCCTTCCCCACCCCCCAAAGTCCCTTTCCTCCTAATATCGGGGAAGTCTGCAGTTCTGCAAACATTGCCATGCTAGAGTTTCGTGTAGTGGAGAACCGGCTGGGCCAAAGGGGAAGGTTCGGTAGGCAGCTCCCTGCTGCTCCTGACACCCGTGCTCCAGACTGCCCTTGGCTGGTCTTGTTCGCCTGGCACAGGAAGGAGGGCATGCTATGTTCCTCTTGCATATCCTTGGGGTTGCTCCACTCATTCACAGCCCCTTGTCTGGAAGCTACAGGACTAGTTACAGGATGGAGGTGGTCACAGGCCTGCAGGCTCCGCCTCTAGGAAAGCGCAGCCTAAACTAAGCCGTTCAGCCCCTGAAGAGTCCACATTTTCAGAAAAGCCACAGGCTCCCCTTAAACCGAGAGCCAAGCATCAGGCTGTTTCCAAGGGAAGAAAGCATACTGGCTCAATTCTGACGGAGGCCGCTGCAGGTGACGGTGCCTGCTGACAGGAGGTTCCGGGAACCTGAGAGCCTTAAAAACGAGAGTAACACAGTGGACCTGGGCTGGGGTCAAACTAAGTAACACAGAAGTCCTAGGAAGGACCTAAGGCAGCTCTCCGGGCTGAAAGAGGGACAGCCAGATGGACGTTTTCAGTATGCATGTCCTTAAAGGAGCCCAGCTTCTAAGGTAAGAGCCGCAGCATAGAGAGCTCAGGCTACAGATGCCTGCGAAGCTTGGAAATGTCCTTCTCATTCTGAGGTTCAACATCTGTCACCCTTCTGAAACCATCACCTAGCACCCTATGACAAAACGCCATCTCCTGTAGCCTGCTTCCTGAAGCAGTCCAACACAGCAGCACTGTGGCCTTGAGGACTAACCACGCACGAGACAGACATGTTGGAATCCAGACACTCGGGGAGCCCCAACTCTCAGTGCTCACCCTGAAATCCAATGACCCTTGCATAAAAGGCCAACTCCACATAGTCATCCTTGGAAAAGGAAGCTGAGGAGATGGCATGGGAGAGTGTACACACAGCAGAGACACGGCAAACAACCGGCCTTGGAGGCCTCAGCCAGAACCAGCTGAACTGAAGTGCGTGAAGGCCTCTCCAGCACAGGCCGTGGGAGCCGCCTTCCTTACCCTGCCATGGCCGCCCTTATTCCTGTCTAGGAGACAAGGGAAGAAGGCTTCTCAATTCCTTTCCCCTTTCTCCCCTTTGTGGACACAACTGTTGAGGGACTGGGCTAGTCTCCGCCGGGTGAGGAGGCTTGCCTTTTGTGAGAATGGCCCTTCTTAAACATGACCCAAAATTTCTATTCCTTTAGTCAGGAATTTTCTCAAATTGAAATAAAAGAAAGAAAAAAAATCCCTCTGCCCTCATTCTTTAGAATTCCAAGAGGCCCCAGCCCACCCTTCCCCCAACCCAAATATTTACGTACATACAATGAAAATGGTCACAATAGTAACAAACTAAGCTTTGGCTTGGGGGAAGGGACTCCACAGTCAGCCAGTGGATGGATGGCCAGCGCTGTTTCCCAGCCTACACACTGTCCCAGAATCAATGACTGCACTGACGTCTCTGCCTCTACGCTGTCCCTCAGATATCACAGGCGACAGGGTCTGAGGGCAAGATGGTGTGTGTCAACTGCAGGCCAGGGCCTGGCTTACACAGGATGCTTGATGCGGTCAGACGTCAGCCATTGTAATTCAGGGGCATGAGTCATTTATCAGTCACAAACTTGTAGAGGCAGAGGCAAAGACAATGACAAAAGAACCAAAACCCCAGTTAAGAATAACCTTGAAAGAAACCAAAGCAAAGCTGAAGCTCGTGTCTCTGAACTCCTTTAGCAGCGAGCCCTTAGGTGACTGACCAGGGAGCTAGCTGACATGCCAGTTTCCTAATGCCTTCACTGTGGAGCCTCTGTGGGACCCTTGCCTTATTTGGGTACACCTCAGATCTGGGAAGAAGTCCTTTGGAAATAAAACTGAAGCCAGGTTTCACTGCCATGGGCCCTGCAGGAGAGCTTGTATTTTACACCTTCCTTCCAAGGTAGGCTTGGATTCCATGGCCTGTCCTGTTAATGTTCCCCAAGGGGTCCAGGTGCTTAGCTGTGACTCTGGAGGACAGTGTGAAGCTGGGTGCAGTGGGCACAGGGTGGGAGACTCCTAGAGGCTTTGGAGGATGGAGATTCCTATGGCTTTGGAGTGAGTACAAAGGGCCTCTGCCTGCCCTTCTTACTCATTACCACACTTGTAGGGATAGCCGACCTAGGGGCTGTGCTCCTTAACTTGCCCGGCACAGGCTTTCTGATGCCCCTGTTACTCTGTACTGACTTTGGGCTGCAAGAAAAGGAAGCGATATCAGGTTGGACATCCCCTTTTCTCTCCTACACATCCTTTAATGGCTCGGAACGATCTGTACTTTAATCCTCAAGCTGTGCCCAGGTATCTGGGAGGAAATCTGGCCACGGACTATTCATTCTTCTGCCCCAGGGTCCTAAATTCCTGAATCTTGAGGACATGGGAGTAGCAGGTTAATAAAAGAATAGATGAGTTGCACATTGGCTCAATGAAAGGGGCAGCAGCCCAGCAGGAAAGCTGGGATTCTGTGTTTCCTATTCTGGAGATCACTCCAAGATCAGTTTTCTACTGAGGTGTCTCTTATCCGCAGCCTGAGAGCGTGCCGGGAAATGCCAGCTCTGTGTTTCCCAAAGCATGCCAGCACTGCCAGGCTGTGAGTGTAAATGACTGTGAAAAGAATGCAGAGACAGGAGGGAAGAGGAGAGAAAAGCGTCTTTAAATGCTCCGTTTTACAAGCACAGACTCCTACCTAGCAGCACGTGGGTTCTGGCCACAGCCAGTCAGAGCCTCCGGCGGCCACAGCCAGGCCGGAAGAGCGCACTGCTGCAGTCCTGCTTGTCCCCAGCCACTCAGCACCAGATACACTTTGGTAATTCTGACTGCTGGCTTCTGATCAAATACATTTATCAGCTCCTTCCTCCTGCCTTCTGTGACTGACAGAATAAGCTAAGCACGGACATACAGACGTGGAAATGCAGTATCTTTTTTTTTTAACCACAGTTTAAAAAAATAAAAAAATCAAAAACAAACAAAAACCCAAAACAAAAAACCTAAAAACTCCCCCAAAACAAAAAACAATCTCATCAAAACAACCCCCCCAAATCCAAAACAAAAAAACAAAACAAACCAAAAAAAAAAAAAAAAAAAAGCACAATCTTTGGAACAAAAGAATTAAAGGCAGAAATTTAAAGGAAAAATACATATTCAAAGAACATAGTGAGGTATAAAAAGTATTCTCTTTTTGTTTGTTTGTTTCCTCTTCATCTTGCTATAGAGTCCTCTACTAGTAAATATTGCAATAGCCAGGCCTCATCAACTGGGGGCTGTCCCACTTGCAGGGTCTCACGTCACTTCAGTAGGGGGCAAATCGGCTGTAGCCACCTCGGTACAAACTCGCCTGCAGGAATTAAAGACATAAAAATAATTGAAAGGTGAGAGAAGCATAGGAGAGGAAACTACAAGTCCTGAGACAGGGTTGGTCACCTCTGCTCGGGCAGCCCAGGTGGTGGGGGCAGCACAATGGCTTACTCCATGGTTACAAGGCTAGGCAGAGAAGGTAGACTTGGTATAGTGTCCAGCTGCTTCTACAAGACAAGCCCTACAAGTTTGTTTTTGTGATGCTACTAGTGTCCCGACAGCAGCTGGACCGCTGAACCCCCTTCTCACACTTGACCTTTTAAGAGTCACTTCCAGTTTCTCCTTGGCAAAGGTGGTCGTGTCTTGTGTTTGAGATGATGCTACATTTACACCTAAGTCAGCCTTTCCACCAGTGAAAAAGATCTTCTCTACAATCTATAAAACACAGTTGTTTCAATATCCATGGGGCACTGACTCAGGAAATGCCCAGGGATGCCCAAATGCAACTAGTCTTTGTTAGAAAGGGTTAGTGTGTGTACAAGCAGACACACCCTCTGCAGATGACTCACCTCCACAGTGCACAAGGGTAAGCACTCTGCAAGCTGCTGAAATACTGTACCGTTCTGAGACTAACGGGGGAATGAGTCTACATGTGAAGATAAACAATCCCTGATACTGTGGTTGAGTCTCTGAGTGTGAGGTGCGGATGTACATGCCACCATGGCCATTTCCTCACCTTTATCAACTGACTTTCTCTGGTGTCTTATTTCTTTTCATGTGAACCTTCCCAGGAATCTTACCCTGGGTCTTTCTTTCAGTGTAGGGAATTTATTGTTTAGCATGAAATGAAACAGGTGTCATTATGGAGTCGCCTGCTCTTGTATCTGTGAATCCCAAATAGCAGTAAAGGCATCTAAGCCAAATCCAAGAGGGCTGCAGCGAGAACGTTAGTCCCACGGATTATTCTAGACATGCTCGCTCTATGTACTTCCCTACAACTGCTCCTAGAATCTGCCTCTGCAGTGTTTACCATACTGAATCCTAGTACTATATACCAGAAGACAGTTAGGCATGGGCAATTAAAGATTGAAAATATTAACTACAGTGAAAACTGGGCACCTTAACACCCCAAGCCTTTACTACTATCAAGAACACTATGCTATGCACCCAGCACTGGAACCCATCCCTTCATCCTTTCCTAAATGACATCATTACTTGGGGGAAGACTGTCACCATCAATTCCTTTCTTCTCATTGCCTTCCAGACATACAGGTAAAGAAAGTAACAGAAACTCCCAGAGTCTCAAATGGCTTCCACACTTGGCAATGGCTGAGATGACAATGCATCACTTCCCCAGATTTTTCAAAGTTTTTGTGTAGAAGTTAGAAGTAACATGGCTTAAGAAAAAAGGTATACAGCTGGGTGGTGGTAGCACACACATTTAATCCCAGCACTTCGGAGGCAGAGGCAGGTGCATCTCTGTGAGTTTGAGGTCAGCCTGGTCTACAAAGCAAGTTCTAGGACAGAAAAAAAAGAGAAGAGATACATAAACTTACCACAGCGCCAACTCCATAGCTGGCGGCAGGGGCGAGGGCATGGTAGGGGTCAGCTGTGTACACCCTGCCGTAACTGGAAAAAAGGAGCACGGTCAGATGGAGAGGGAGACTGAAACTGTAGGCCTGTGCTACAGACTTGAACTCTCAGTAGGGAAGGTGGCAGATGGAAAAAGCCTTCCTATTTCTGTTCCCAAATGCAGTGACTGGGAAATCTTGATGTACTTGTATAAAATGGCAAAGAAGGGGTCGGATGAGGAAGCAGGCTGCCTGTGATCACAGCCCATGAAGAGACAGAACAAGAGAGGACGGCAGGAGGCCCAGGCACTAGGGTGTTTCTGGAAATGGTGAAAGAGGAGAGGGGTGATGCTGCAGATGGCATGGTGCTCAGGGCATCGAGGAGCCTGTGTTCCCGCTCTGTACATACCCGTCGCTGTAAGCGGCTGCAGCGGCTGCAGCAGCTGTGGCTGCGGTTGCAGTAGCAGGCTGTGCATATCTGTAGGCTGCATATCCACCCTACAGGAGAGAAGAGAACTGACTTTACAGCTACCTCTCCCCGAGAAAGACACCTCCCCCCCATACAGACCCACACGTGTAGACACAAGGACAAACACAGACACACATGTAAGGGATGTTTCAAACTGCACCAGTCCGCATGCTCTTCCTATGGTAGAAATCAAGCTTCTGCCAATGTCAGAACTTGCTTCCCAATTGTGACGGTAAGAAAAATAAAGTACACAAATACTACTTAGTAATTTTAAGAAATACGGAGATGATTTTGAATTTTACTTCAGTATTTTCTGGAACTCTTGATAGGGAAAACATTCATGGTATGTTGGGAAAACTCAGAGTCTACACGCCTACATATAACAGAGCTATAAAGAGTTAAACTCTATTTCTGGAAGAGGGTTCAAGCTTCTCAGGAAGAAATCCACAACTATGGGCCAAGCTCCTGGAGTACAATTGGAAGTGAGGGAGGAGCAATAATATGAACAAAGGAGTTAAGATCATGATGGGAAAACCCACAGAATCAACTGACCCGAGTTAGTGAGAGATCACTGACTCCAGTCTGACAAATGGGGAACCTGCAAAAGACCAAACTAGACTCCATTAATATAGGTGACAATGGTGACTGGAACATATTGAGGCCACTGGGTCCAAGATCTAATATTAACATACAAACTGACTTAGTGAAGCCCATTCTACATGGAGAAGATACCTTGCCCAGCCTAGACACAGGGGTGTGGGGATAGAGAGGTTCTTTGGTTCTGCCTCAATGAGATGATGGGACAGACTTAGATTTCCTAGGGGAGGCCTTACCCTCTCTGAGGAGCAGATGGGAGACGGAGGGAGGATAGGGGAGTGGGAGGAGAAGAGGGAGGAAGAACTGGGATTGGAATGTTAAAAAAAAAAAGTTATACTCTCTAACACCCAGGTGTCAAGCACAGATTCTCTGTCCTAGGACTGCCTGGTTACTGGCGAATGCAGCAGGTCACAGGGAGGCCTGACCTAGAACTTGAATCCATCTGTGCTAGCAGGTCTGTAGAGATCTAACCCGAGAAGCAAGGGGCCAAGCAAACCAGGCATGAGAGCATTGCCTGTGAGCTAACACAGCCACCGCCTGCAGAGACTGTGGCTTTAGAAGCCACATGTCTGAGCCTAGCTCTTAACAGATGGCTGTTTGCTAACTTTACAAGAGAGACCTCACATTTACCCATCTTCCCCATTGTTGAGAGTTGTAAAGGTAGGTGTGTGTGTATGCGCGCATGTGTGTAGCCAAGGTCTCTCTATGTAGCACTGGCTGTCCTGGAACTAGCTGGACTCCAACTCAGAAACCTGCCTGCCTCTGACTCCTGAGATTAAAGGCATGCACCACCACTGCCGGGTTGCAGTGTTTTCTAACAGGGCCTGTCTTTTCTCTGGCATCCTACCTAGCAGCTCTGGCTGGCTTCCTTGACTCCTGATAAATCTCATAGCTATAATTTTGTGAGCATCTCAGCCCCTCTAGTAAAGCACAGATGTATGAGGGAGAGCCTGTCCTGCTCTCCAAGTCTATGCTGTATGAGGCCACTGTCAGTAGTTTTGGTATACTCTCTAAGCCCAGAGCCTTTCAGCTGCTGTGCAACACTCCTTTGCTGACACTCACCATAAGGGGCAATCCGAGTTACATGGCAAATGTGGGAAAGTGGCAGGAAGCACTCTTGTTGTGACTTTGAGTCATGTCTACTGGACGAACAGGCTGGACCACCTGGGCAATGCTTCCTATCTAGTTCCACAGGGCTTGCTGCATTCCTTCTTCACCTCAGTTCTTAAGTCTCCAAAGAGGACATGAAATGGTGAAAGCATTGGTTATAGAAGAAGTTCTTTGTTATAGTTCAATCTTTATCTGGGCCATAAAGGGTTTAGATCAGAAGCTGAATCCTTAGTGAGATTTTGTAACAAAAGTAATGTAGTACTATGTGCTTTGCCTCTTTAGCATTCCTTCAAACACCAAATAATTTTACAAATCTAGAAGGCTAAGAGTAGTGAAAGCAACTGTTTGATCAATGCGTATCTAGGTACAGAATTTATAGACTGGAGCAGGGGTACAGGTTCTCACTGAAAGTAGCTCTGAGTTGTGGCTGCTAACTGGGAGGAAGGGCTCCTAAGCTAGGCAACTGACAGCCATGGCTCCCTCCGTGGCTGAGGTCCTTCTCGTTGGGAAGGAAGTGGGCCTTCTCCATCTGCAGTATTGCTTCCTAGAGTGGACTCTGACTGTAGGGTTCTGCTGATGAAGCTCTCTGTGGTTCAGGGCTAGGATGGATGAAGTATTTTATTGGCCCTGCTAGGCTTGGGAGAACACCGGCAATAAGAAAACTACACTGATGCTTTTGAAAAGCCCATGACCTTTCAGCAGGTATAGAGAAATCATTTAAAGGAGGGCTGCATGTGGGCTGGATAGGTAATACTTTACCAAAGTAACCCGGTAATTCACCAACGCCTAAGGAAAAGTGTACTGTGTATCAGGAAGCTTACTATGTCTTACTCCCAAGTGTTTCTACTGTTGCTGAAATGAGGCATTCTACAGAACATTACACAAAACCCAGGACAAAATATACAAATTACTTAATTGTATTCTAGGTTTCAGAGTATACAGAGGGCTAAGAATTTTTCCCCCAAGATTTTACTTTAACCAGCAAATTTGAAGGTTTTTATAGAACGTGAGAACAAAATGCAGTTTGAAACACCAAGGTTTTCATTACTGTTTCTTAAAATTTTCAAAAAGAACAAGGTGGGAGGAAGGAGAAGAGGTCTCAGGCGTGGGGGGGGTGGCGCCACATTAATATTAATCACATTAAAACTGAGCATGCTGACATCCGGAGCTAAAACAACAGCAAAACCACCACGTCCAGACTGGCACTGGCTAACTCTATCTATCCCAGCATTCTCTTGGGACAGCGGTTTGCCCTAGGCTCTACCACAAGCTCGGTGAAGTACACAGCCTCAATTACTAGAGCGTGCAGCCACAACGACCTGGTATTACGGAAACAGTCAGTCACCACTTGAGTTAACATTCCATACCCTAACAACTGGTCCCTCCCCAGCCCAAAAGAGGAGTAAATCTTGCCCACCCGAGCCCTGGCCCATACCACATGTTAATAATTATAACAAGCAGTAACCCATCTGTTATATCAGAGAAGGGAACAGAGACTCCACTGAGAGATTTAGAGTGAGATGTTAACATTTCTTCAGCTGACTGCACAAACAAACAAACAAAAAAAGAGGAGAAATAATTCATTTGGAGATATGAAGTCATGAATAGCTGATGTGTATTGCTTTTAACCATGCACTGATGCAAAACTGAAGCAACCATTAATAAAAATTAAAAGGACATATGTATTTACACACAATCAGACCTGTTTGATCTGAAGCAGTTTGCAGATTCTATCTGTGTGTGATTTGAAATAAAACAAAAAATGGGGATTAGCATGGCCACAGCACACCATAGTGTAGGAGGGCACACACAGACGGCTTCTGGAACTCTAAGAGCTGCCTAAGTTTGTCATGGCTAAGCCTGGTTCAAATACATACATGCCCCTTATAAAATGGTTAATTTTCTTTGTAACTTTTCTAAATAATGCCTAGCATTCCCACTTTGGTGGCCCAATCCTACACTGCTCTGCTACTCAACCTGCCTGGCTCTGGCACTAGAACTCAGTCCCCACCCACAGAGCTCACCCAGCTGCTCCTCTCTGCATATTCTTATCCATGTTCTCCCAAGGGTTCTCCCGTATTTGTTGTCTTCTCAATTATTTGTCATATCTTGGCTTCCATTTCCAGCTTCTCAAAGCTGAATGCTACTGCTCTGCACCCCTTTGCTAAAGACTTTCCCACGTTAAAGGAAAGCCTGTTTCCCACAGCCCAGTGTCAGCTCTTGGCGGTTTGCTACTCTTCTTCCCTGAGTCAGTTTTAATCATCGAATTAACTCTGTACCACTAGTACTCTTCGGTACCATTGCTACAGTTATGCTGGCAACAAAACAGATTCTAACCATCGCTCCCCTGCATACGACCCTGGTCTGCACATCTACAGATTTTTGTCTTGTCTTGAGTTTAACCTTGCCTTTAATTTTATTGCATTTTTGCTTTAGGTTTACATTAAAACAGGACTTTGGTGAGCATGTGATGTCAAGACACCTTCTCTCTACCTGAAAGACAATGACATGTGACACCGAGGAGGAAAGTGTATGTTCAAGACCAGCAGACAAATGAAAGCTTGTTATCCCCATGTAGTGTGCAGATGGACAGAGCAAGGCAAATGTGTGCACGTGTGTGCGTGCGAACGTATGGGGGACTGGTGGGCAAGATGGCTAACATCACCATGAAGGAGCAGATCTATTCCACTTAGCAAGGGTCTAGGGTTTGGCCTCTAACCACTGGTTTGGGACCTCGGTGATTCTAGAGCCTCTTTCCCCACTCCAGTTGAGAGTCACAGGCTAGGAAACAGCAAGTTCTCATGCAGACATAGCACAGACTTGAATATAAAATGTATAATTTTTACTCTGGATAGACAGATCAATCTACTCTGAAAAGTATCATTTAAAGTTCTATCTCATGATTATTTAAATTTGGGGCTAAGGAGAGATTATTATGACCAACTTGATTAACTTTGACTTACATGATAGATGAGACATAATTGTAAATGAATTAAATCTTCAAATACTTTACTATTCCACATCTCTCCAAATCAGTTCATTTCTAAAACATCACTGGGTTACACGAAATAACTGGGTTATTAAGTTATGGACATTTTTCTTGCTAAATCCAAACTCTCTAGCAGGCATGCTATTATCCAAACACTCACTGATCTGATCTGGTGACAAGAAAGAGGGCACAGGAACTACAAGTCCCAGGATAGGATGTCCAGACCTCACTCTTCCGCAGCAGCACAGTCCATCTCTGACTGGGCTTCACTCTGCAGCTCAACATGGGACTCGACTTCTGCCTCCTCCCCTGTGACATTCCTTTCACCGTTAGTGCCCTCAGCTGGTAAGATCTCCAATACAAAAGACTAGTTTCAACAGCCCAGGCAGATGTGACTGACAGGCTGAGAGAGGCTGCGGGGAGGATGGGATAGTGCATGTGAGGCGTCTGTGCAGATGTGTGCTGAGGGACTGGATGGCTCACTCTGAAGGAAGTGCCACGGGGTGCGGATGTGATGTGTGCACTGCTGAGGTAGCAGGGCTTAGATCACACGCTCACAAGTCTTGATTGTCCAAAAAAGCCTCTGTTCCCATCTCTAACGTGGAGCTGGAATGGTTAGTATAATTCAATTTTTCACTGCAATCCACAATCTGATTGATTGGCAGGTCACACTGGCACTCCTACCTGAGGTATTTTAGCGCTAATGATTGGTTCCTGTAAGACTATTCTATAACAGAACACAGGAAGAGCAGTTCAAAAACACAGCTGTGGAAGGAAAACAATCATACAAAGAGCCCGCCATGGGCCGCCAGCCTTTTCTTTCCTTTGGATGCAAGCATGCTTTTCACAAGTGGGAATCAGGAGCAGTTGTTAACCCACTTACATGATGGGATGGGGAGTGGGCATGCACCTATCCTAGAAGAGCAGGCCTCTTTACAAGTTACAGAACAAGGTGGTCAGACACAGGGTAGCACGAGGCAGCAGAAGGACCACCAGGAACTGCTTCAAGAGCAGATGAGGGAAGAGGATCTCAAGTAAAGCCAGCACCAAGGCTCCTCCCTGAGTGTCTTCTGCTCATGCTCTCTCTGTCTGGTTCAGAGTGCCTTCATACACCGCCCTGCACTCATCCTATTCAAGCACATACTTCTGAGGGTGCAGTGATAGATTTCCACAGTTAGGAAAAAGTACAGAGACAAGCAGAACAAACTCACAGAAAAACGGTCACTTCTCGTTTGTGACTTTAAAACTTCTTAGCTCCCTCACACTCGGACCATTCAGTTCTGTAGTCCAGGTTTTCAGCACAGTGCTCAGATATGGTCTCGGCACTAGCGACCAACTTTTCTCCCTCCTAGCAACACCAACTCAGATGGGAGACAGAAAAAGGCAGCAAACAGTACCCAGTGCTTCAGTAAGCACCACTGGGAAAGGTATTGTGGCCAAGCCCCTGGATTTCTTGCTTAACTTCTGTAGCTTATTCATTTAGAATAAAACAAAAACAAACAAACCAAAGAAGAGAAACCCATAAGAACATTCTCTTGACAGGCACCGAAAAATCATCTCATTAAGACTCATTAAGATGTTACAACATGGCCGGGCATTGGTGGCGCACGCCTTTAATCCCAGTACTGGTCTAGAACTCACTGGTCTACAGAGTGAGTTCCAGGACAGCCTCCAAAGCCACAGAGAAACCCTGTCTCAAAAAACCAAAAACCAAAAACCAGAAAAAAATTACAATGTAAAAATATGCAAAATCAGAATAGAAGTAGGACATATTTTAGAAAAATCTGGGTGATGGTGGTGCATGCCTTTAAAAATTCCAGCACTTTCAAGGCAGAGGCAGGCGGATCTCTGTGAGTTCAAAAACAGAGTTATACAGAGAAACCCTGTCTTGAAAAACCAAACCAACAACAACAACAACAACAACAACAACAACAACAAAAAACCAACCCAAAACTCCAACCAACCAAACCAAAAATTAAAAACAAAACACAACAAACCAACCCACCCAAAACAAACAACAAAATCCTCAGTTGAGGAAATAATTCAAATGGAAAAGCTACTCTACCAGAGCAGATTTCAAAAAAGAAACTAATACAAAGCTGAGCTTCGTGAGAATATGGAGGATGCACATGCTATAGCATCACATGTAATGCTATTACATCACATGTAAATATACACATTCAGAGATGTGTAACCTGCCCAGTTACTTCTTGAAAACTTCCTGAGCAAACATTGATTTTAATAAACATACAAAGAGATAATGAAATAGTTTATGCTTGGCTGTGTGAACTGTTTATGAAACTCTGGTCCTCACGTTGGAGAGACAGACCATGACTCATGTCTAAGGTTCCTTTACTAGGAGACACTCCAAAGACTCAGCATGCTGCACTGACTGAGTGCCTTCTCAACAGCCTGACCTCAGCCTCCGAGGGAGCAGGCACCACAGCCTGAAGACTGGAGAGCACGGCAGGCACCTCCTGGGCCCATTGACCTACCCCAGCGGAGTAACCTCCTACTGCTGAGTCTTGCTTATAGAACTGTCTTCACGATCTGGGTATGTAGACTATGCTGACATTCAGAAAGAGACCAACAGTCTCCAAAACTCCAAAGCTTTTCCTGTGTCAGCTAGATCACATTGTCCATCTTTTAAGTAGTATGTGACCAACAAATCATGAACCTTCATTTCCAGATAGAGGGATGGATTAAATGTTACTGTGGCTGGTAGAATTAGCAAATCTTAACAGTAACTGAATGGCTATTAATTATGCTCCTCAGTTTCCCTAGCTAACACTAAGAAACAGACCTACTAGCTGTGGACTTCAGGCAGAAGGGTTTTAAACTGAGCATACTACACAATCCTCAGAACAGCAGTTCCTTGATGGCACTTGCACAAGTTTGTGTTCTCCAAATCACGTAAAACCAGAAAGCACACAGTTAGGAAAGCCTACTGCCATCTAGGTAAACCCGGGCCTGCCGCTCCACAGAGGTGTGAGATGAGAAGAAGAGCAGAGGAGGGAAAGAGGTGGTGTCAGCTAGCCTAGTCCTGCTGCTCATGCTGGCGGGTGACGAGACAGCAATACGACTTTAACCCTGCGGAGCATCTCACACGAGACGCCCACAGCATTCGCGGGCACAGGGAAGGGGAAGAGTATGTCCAGTGGACTGACCCCAGCAACCGTCATGACACCCAAAGATTTAGTTTTTGCACCCAGGGGCAAGCGCAGTGGCAGAGAAGCATGCTTGCATTCTTAAAATATATAATATATATATATCCACAAGGAAAAAGGAAAACAAAAATTAAATTATATGTTTTTAAAAAGGACAAAACAAAAATAAAAACAAAACAAACTAAAGAAACAGAAAAAAAAAGGCTGGCTTGTCAGGGGATGGGGTCCAAAAGGCCCCGGTGTGTGTACTTACATAGAGGTCAGCACCGTAAAATCCGTCCTGGTAAACCACACTGCAGAAATCCACACAAAAACAAAAACAAAAAACAAAAGAACAGAAACACATTCCGGTTATTGAGGACGGCAGCATGCACATGCGCTACACAGGCAGGTGATGTATGAATGTGACCTGAACATGGGGCCGCAGCAAGCTGGTGACAAAGACGTGCCAAATGCACACGTGTGTTCCACGGCTCCAGGACATGCAAGGAGAGGTAGGGTCTGCAAGACTAGACCGAGCACCTGGACACTGGGTAACTCAAATTAACGGTATAGACAGTGCTCCTGGCAGGGCCTACTGTAGCTGTCTGAGATCCGTTGCACAGATCCACTTTAGAACATGGACTACTTTTAAATGAAGTGTGTCCTACGAGAACACTGTTCTTAAAATTGTACAAAGGGTAGGAATGCTGAGGGGCTTTTAACTTCATGAAGAAAGTGAACAAAATTAATTCCATTAGGTCAGAAACCATGTGAGAAGTGTGTTTCAAATGATGCTTACTAGTATATTTTAATTTTAGAAGTAAAGTGTAATTTTCTTGCTATCCATACATCACCTGCTTTTCACCCTGCACATTAGACATGCGATAAGATTTGGCTGATCACACAAGCATGCAAAGTATTATTATTCAGCATTTTTGAGAACCAATGCAACACCTTGGAAAAACAAGTCAATCAATTCTGACCAAAGTAAACAGAGAAATGTAATTAAAAAAAAAACCAAAAGAACAAAACAACCAAAAATACCCACAATGCATTGCTTTCACAAGCAGAGGTAATGAGCTCAAGGTTAAGGTGATTGGTCCAAGAATTGAAAGGTGCAGTGGGATCCCAGATAGTAACAATATAATCCAGAGTGGGAAGGAGCAACTGGAAGATTTTAAGGGTCCTTTCTTAACTAACAGAGTATTTGGAGGGCTCTGAAGAATACCCTTGGTGACTGAAGCCCTGGGAATGGCTAGGCCTGTCTGACTGGACTGAAGGGGTAAAAACGAGGCAGCTGTGGCAGGCTCACCTCCTGCTTGGTAATGGGCTTTGCCAAGCAGGCAGTGCTAGTTTTTTAAAAATATGAATCTGTAGCAGCTCTATACTGTTATTCTTAAGATGTAGACTTCTCTCCTGCCTTATGAAGTGCTTTTGTATACATAGATTTCCCCCAAAAACATTATTTTGGGAGCAGAAGACATAAACAGTGGTAGAGAGAAAAGACAAGCTTTTTCTTCACATTTGTCAGGTCAAGACTTGGCTGTTTAATAGATTTTGAAAAATGTGTTTTTGTTTACTCAGCTAAATAAAATGGATAATTTTTTTCAGTTATAATGAATGGGCTAACAAGTAGGGTCACTAAGTTTTATATCTACAAGTTCCAAGGCCGTACCTTACAATGCACTGAGCACTAGGCCTCTGCTTTGTATGCAGGAAAAGCAGACATGTCCCCAGTGTCTGTAAGCAAGGGTTACCTGCTCTAGTCTCCACTTGCAGTTTAAGTCTGGTATCAGGCTGCATCTGACTCTCCACTGCATTCTCATAAGACTTGTGTAGGAGGTCAATGAATGGAAAGCATGGAGGCCAAGTGGTGAATTACTCTTCATCAATGTCCGTGAGGGGACACAGGCAAAGACTACAACACATTCCTTCTATAAAGAGTGTGCCATTAAAAACAAGGAGACATTCTGTTTTAATCATTTATTGTAACTATTCACTTGAATTCTATAAGAATTCTGATAATCCCTGTACCCAACGCCGTAAGAGGCTAGAGCACAGTGACTCACAAGGCTGAAAGAAATTCTAGGCCATTCCCCATGAAATACTGGACTTATTCCTTGCCATCTCCCATGTAAACAGATGGTGTAGTTAACAAAAAGAATACAAGGGAAATTAGTGTTCAATGCAATGCACAGAAGCTGACATGACCAGGCATGAAAGATAAGTCCCTTTAAGCAAATGTATACCTGACACAGACTTAGTAGAGAATTGTTCCTAAGTTTGGCCAATATAGGGAAGACTGCACTGGACAGGGATGAAGTGGGCCACTTTATGAAGTGGCTCAGGAAGCTACTCAATAGGCAGCTCCATGTTTCTCTGTGCACGCCCTCTCAGTACATGTGACAGGAAATGCTTTCTGAGCTGAATGGGAGACACAGCCTGAGCAGTTTCCCTAGTGTGCTGAGCTTGTAAAAGACTCACTTTCATGTTTCACTCAAACATTTCTTGATGAAACAAAGCTGTATATTTCATTAATTTTTTTAAAAAAAGAGATGTCAGAGGTTGAAGGTCAAAGGTCAAGTTGAGACAAAAAAGGATAAAATTAAAAGCAAGTCATGGCAGAAGATGGAGATGATGGAATGCATGGGATTTAATTGTCTATAAATTGCAAATGAAAGTTATTCTCTGAAGCAGTTCCCTTGCAGTGTCTTGGAGTCTGCCCACTTCAGCATGCATACTTGCCTTGTCTAATAAACATGCTTTAACTCTGTGGCATGGAGGACTCCTAATGGTATGTCCATTGGTCTATGAATGAATGAATGTTAAATTAGTACACCTCCTGGTGAAGCCAATTTTGCTATCAGAAAGGGGCATGCTATCTTCCTCTACATTTTAACTAAAAATCAGCTAATTGGCTTTTCTGCAGCTATTTATGTTTCTCCAGAGTACTGGAAAAACAAAAACAACAACAGCAAAAAGTAAAACCACCTGTCGTAGGCAGAGAAAAGATGAAGAGGAGAAATGTCAAATCTTTTAAGAGAGAAAGTCCTTGATACAACTCAATTAGAAGTTCACTGTATATAAAAGTATACATTAGGCTGACATGGATAAACAACTAAAAGTCAATCTGCCATCTTCCCTCTTCTCCCCATTCAAAAACAAAGGATTTATTTGTTGCTATGGAATCTTTCCACTGCATGAGACACCCTCCGCTCCAAACCGAAGGCGAGGGCTGCTCAGCCACATCAGCGGCTACCATCTCAGAAGCCAGCTGCAGCTGGCTTCCCCTACTTCTCCCTCTCTCCCTCGGTTCAATTGGGCTTGGTTTGTCTTTGAATTCACCTCTTTCAATCTGTTTCCTACGAAGAAAGCAAATCCATTGTGGGTAACTAGCTTTGCTGCTCACGACCCAGGGCAGTCAAACCCTGGGGTGGGCGCACGTGCTGGCCTCTGCCCGACACAGCTGAGACGGGTGAGCACAGCAGACGCGGTCTGGTGCTGAGTCTCCGGCTCCTTTCTCAGTTCTCTGCAGTCGTGTTAATCCACACTCGTGCGCTGCTGAGTGAACTCCATGCCGACACACTGCTAGCAAACACAAGACGGCTCTGGCTACTGTCTTAAGCCGTCACCATGAAGGCTTAAGGTGGCCAAAATGAGGGTTTGTATAATGAATTGGCCCTTGGTCACATTTCTGCATTTTGGTTCTTGCCTTCCATCCTTTAATTTTAAAATATTCATACAGCATCTAAATGCTGCCCACCAACATCCTACAATCAGAGAGGTCCAGCGCACTCTTTCTTCCCTTCTTTTTGTATCCAATTGTTCATTTTAGAAATGGTGATTCTGGAATCTAATGCTTACCCTGGATAGGCGGGGATGGCTGTTGGAGGTACCGCTCGGACTGCACCATACACTGTCCGCCCTCTGCCTCTCAGATGGGCTCCTCTGAATGCGGCTGCCGTGGTGGCTGCAGTTGGGTAAGGGAAGCCAGGAACTAAAGGGAGACCCAAAATATGACAGAAATTTCAACTTGCATTCAGGAGCTGGTACAAAACCAGACTGAGAATCAATTATGGAAAAGGGAAAAAAGCAGGCACCACATCTTCCCTGAAAAGGCAGCAAGCATACTTATTAACGCATTCCGGGGGCTTTGGGGGAAGAAGTAGAAAGAGAGATACAAGATGACAAGCAATGACTCCATGTCCCATTCATCACAAATCTTGAGTTTACTCTGTTCCTTCCAGGCTTTTCCAGTCATAATGTAAGCTGATAAGAAACTCTTACTAGAAGCAGCTCTGAAGATGTACCTAAGATGTACAATGCTTAATTTCTGTTGGTGACTTAAATCAGATTAATATAAATTCTTTAACTGGCCAACTATGAATTCATTTCTAAATGCCATTATATAATAATTATTCCTCAAAAGGAATGTTCTTTATATATTTTTACATGGTGCTTTAAGGCAAGCAATAGTTTTTAGAGAATTCTTTTGTCAATTTCATTTCTCTCTGTGTAGCCCTGGCTGTTCTAGAACTCACTCTGTAGAGCAGGCTGGCCTCAAACTCAGAGATTCACCTGCCCCTGCCTCCCTAGTGCTGAGACTAAAGGCGTTTGAGACCATTGACAGGTGTCTGTAAAATATTAACCTTCCCAGCCTCCCTGTGTCCTTTAATGGAGCAGACATCCTCCAAAGGCCTCTTCTAAGCGTGCTTTGCTCTGGAAGTCATGCAGACACCCACTCTGTGGAACCCAGTTCAGTTACACCTCTTGCCAGAGGAAAAGGGCCAACATGACTCTAGAGACAGCAAGAGAGTGGAGAGTAGTCACGGCCACTGGAGCTGTGCTGATGGTACTCCATGGGAGCGTGGGCATGTGTGTGCACTTGGGGAATGGGGTGGTGGGGAGTAGGCTTGAGTAATGCTGTCTATACAATATTCGCATCTTCTGATTTCCTCATGGCCAAATACAGGGAGGATATTTATGTGTCCACCCTCACCACTTTCCAGAGATTTCTGTTTTGTGGGAGCTTCTAGGTATCACTCTCTCAAGAATTTTTTTTCTAGCTGGTGATGGCAGCACACACCTTTAATCCCAACACTACAGTGGCAGAGGCAGGTGGATCTCTGTGACTTTGAGCACAGCCAGAGCTATTATACAGAGACCCCCCTCCTCCCCCCAAAAAGGCTCTTTTCATCCCCTGTTCTCCAGAAGAAAACAGGTCAAACTAGCGCACCAGTGGCACCAGTCGAAGCCATGCCAGGTGAGTGTAGGCTACTTACTGATTAGAGGAATGTAAGTGTTGATGCCTCCTCTTCCCGACAGGGGCACAGCCGCCTCATTGCCCAGGGACACATCAGCTTGAAAGCTGGAGGCTAGGTGCATTAAAAAGTGACGAGTTTACAAAGACAAGTTTACAGTCAAATGAAAAGAACAGATGCCATTAAGTAGCAGAAAGGGAAGTAGTACAATACTACCTGCATATAATTCAGGGCCATACACAGCTCCAACTACTGGGCTTAATTTCCAGCCTGAAACAGAAAAGACAGTGACTGTTTTTCAGACTGTGTGAAGACAGGAGTGAACTCTGCATGTCAAGATGGTTTGAATGAGGGGATGAGGGCTTGGGCAGGTAGGCAGGGGTGTATGGAATAAGGGTTGAGAAGATAGAGAGATTGTCCAAATCAGATTGGTTGGTGGATACATCTGTGGGGATTGGCTTGATTATTAACTGATGCAGGAGAGCTAAGCCCACTGTGGGTGGCATCATTCCCTGGGCAGGTGGTTCTGCGTTCTGTAGCTAAGCCTGAGCTTATCAGTGACCCAGCAAGCACTGTTCCTCCAGTTTCTGCTTGAGAGCTGCACTGACTTCCCTTAACGATAAAACTGTGACCCCCAAAGTTGTTTTTAGTTTGAGTGTTTTATCACAGCAACAGACTGTAACTAGAACAGAGAAAGAAAATGGTGAGGGAAAGAGGGAGGGAAAAGAGAAGATGAGGAGGAAACACAAGTACACTGTGGGGTTTGGCAGACTGTGCTCAGAGCTGCACCCACATGACCTGCTCTAAACTCAGAAGGGAAAGAAGTCGGGACACCCATCATTTGGTATCACATGACAACACTTCCTTGTATGCCACCTTGACAGTACTTTCCACTAGATGCTTCAGTAAGGTGTCCTCAGAATGAACTCAAATGTGACCTGGAACTTGATGGCACATTCAGTTATACCACACAAGTTTTGTGGGTAAATGGAAATCCCCTTTCATAGTAAAAACTGGGACTCACTAGGTAGAAAGGGAAAGATAGGCAGTAAGAAAATGTGAAGTCCATTCCCATCTTCTGTGCATGGCTTCAGTTTTAATTTATAACACACATATTAACTACTGAGACTCTGAAGGATACCATACCGCTGCCAAACATTCAGTTCAAGATTTAGAAATGTTGAGTTTGCAAATCATACTACGTTGGGAGAAAATTTTATTTTTTATATACTTAGAGGAATATGGCAAGTATTTTGCTTGTAAGCAAGGGATATATGCTACTCCCTCTAGCAGTGAGTAGAACTCTACATAAAACCGAAGTATCTACTGACTGTTCTACATAAGAAGCAACACACCTGCATTTATTTCTCAGAGGGGCTCAATCATTGATTTCTGTCCCTAGCCACTGCCATTGCTACACTGTGAATATAGGATGGAGAGAAGAAGAGGCCCGTTCTATTGATTACAGATTTTCCTTTCTTTTTCACAGGGGCCCTTTGTGTGTTCATGTGTGTATGTGAAGGTCTGAGGACAACGCACTCACAAGGGCTGGTTTTCTCCATTCACTGTGTGTATGTATGTGTATGTGTGTGGGCTAAACTCATTTCATCAGGCTTAGAGGAAAGTGTCTTTACTTACTGGGCCCTGTGCAGTCCAGGCTGTGCTCTGGAACTCATTACCCTCCTGTCTTAGCCTTCCTGGTGCCAGGATTACAGGTGTGAGCTACCGTTATCTGGCTGAAATAACACTCTCTCAATCCAACCCCTTATTCTGATTAAAAAAAAAAAAAAAAGCTCATGAGGGCCAACAAGATGGTTCAGTGAGTAAAAGCATTTGCTACCATGCCTGTTTGTTGCCTGGGACCCATGTGGTAAAAGAAGAGAAAAGACTTATATAGGTCTGAGGGTATCTGATTTCCATGAAGATCTACCTGCACACAAACATCCACATCTCCCAAAATGAATATAATGCTCACGTTGGCACTCATGTATAAATTCATTTTCCCAAGAGTTAAGAGTTACAGTAATTCAGAGCCACCTGACATGAGTGCTGGGAACTGAACTTGGGTCCTCTGCAAGATAAGCATAGGTTCTTTTTTTCTTTTTCTTTTTTTTTTTTTTTTTAAGATTTATTTATTATGTATACAGTGTTCTGCCTGCATGTCTGTCTGCAGGCCAGAAGAGGGCACCAGATCTCAGTACAGATGGCTGTGAGCCACCATGTGGTTGCTGGGAATTGAACTCAGGACCTCTGGAAGAGTAACCAGTGCTCTTAACCACTGAGCCATCTCTCCAGCCTCCCCAGCATAGGCTCTTAATCTGAGCTGTTACTTCAGCCCTAAATTCTGTATTTTTAAGAAAATGTAAACTTATTTTGTATATAAGAATATGAGTGAGCTGGGCGTTGGTGTTACATGCCTTTAATCCCAGCACTCAGGAGGCAGAGGCAGGTGGATCTCTGTGAGTTTGAGGCCAGCCTGCTGTAAAAAAAGAAAAAAAAGAATATGAGTGTGTGTGTGTGCCACAGAGGGTAGTGCTTCTTAATTCTGTTCTCTCCTTTCCCCTTGCTGAAGCAAAGGCTTCACTGTTTCTGCCACTGTATGGCATATATCAGGTTAGCTGGCCCAAACTTCTGCCTGTTTTCCTATGTCTGCCTCTGATCCCTAGGTAAAGCGTGGAGATTACAGATATGAGACACCACACATGGCTTTTAATGGAGGTTCCAGTTACTAAACTCCAGTTTTAAAGTTTGCATGCTTAGTGCTTTTTCCCTGAGAGGCCACCTTGCCATCCCAACGTTTGTTTTTGTTGGGGCAAATTATTCGCTGAAAATCCCATTCTTAAATATTTATTAAACTATGTAACTTGTCATTATGGAATAAAAAGCTACACCCTGAAGTCCCATGGCCATTACCCCAGGCCTTAAGACAGCAAGGAATCTAGACCTACAAGCGACTAGGCTATTCTTTTCCACTTAATCACATGCATTTAACAGGGATGGGGGACACACCTGGACCACCAGGGCTACATGGGCAATTCCCACAGTATAGGGAACTACAGAGGCTGAAGAGAAGGGTGCTCACGGCCCACCTAGTCTGCGCTGACAGGTGGCCTCAAGTGGCATGATGAGAATGTTAGAAGATGAAAGGTAATGAGAACAAAACACCTTTGTAAGTAAAAAGCTTAGCTTAATCCTAGGGGAAAAATTAATTTGTAAAGATAAGACATTCTTCTAAGAGGCTGAATGTGGACTGAGCAGACGGTCCTAGAAAGTCATGAAAACTCCACATTATGTGAGAACCAGCATCCCCCCAAGGCAGCTTGTAACTCCTCACCGTTTGCATATGGCGTGACCATCTTCTTATTGGTCATGACACGTGCTGTAGCATTATTCACCTAAAAATAACGAGCAGACAAGAGGGGAGGGGAGGGACACATTAGGAACATGACACTGCTCATCCAGTAACATAGCACGTAATTTAAAATGTAAAATTTGATAGCATTTAGATAATTAACACAGCATTATAAAATATTCATAGAATCTTAATGTGAGTGCTTATTAAATGAGGCTAACAAGAGTAAAATGCAGTTTCTTGGTCTCCAAAAAGAAAACTGTGGTTGTCCTACCTCTTAGCACTCCAGAGAAATGATGCAATTACACGTGCTCTGGGTGGCCTTGAGATGTCTCTGTACTGAGGACAATTTGGAAAAAAGTAAATAGGGAACACATATACCCCCAAGTGAGCTCTGAAGCTTGTTGGTAAAGTAGAGGTTTGCTAGCCTCCTGTTCTGATGCTCTACCTTTTTTTTTTTTTTAAAGCTGTCTGGGACTAGTAAATATAGGAACTGTAGATTCCCATGTTGACAGTGTGTAGAGCCATCCTGAATTTTCTAGACCATATGGGTTACTCATTTAAGATGAAGTTTCCCAAGGGCCTTTGGCACAGGTGCTCAACCGTGAAGAGTTGAGTGTCTGTTTCTCCTGTGCTGTGGTACTCTTAACCCCCATGACAAAGCATACAGTTTGAGGCAATCTCCACACCAAGGTACCATCACAAAGATGGTACCGTTGGAAAAAGGAGGGATGGAGCTTAGGAGCCAGAACACTGTGGGTGGCCTCAAGACCAACCCCAGAGCTCCTGACAGAAGGATAAAGTCTCACCATAAACTCAACTGCAGCCAGCTTTGAGCTCAGAGCTTATGAAATATAAATGTGTCTTGTTTGTTTTTTGAAGCCAAGTCTTACTAGGCTGCTCAGGCTGAGCCTGAAATTTGCTATGTAGCTAGGCTGGCCTCAAACTTGTGATCCTCCAGCCTCAACCTCCTGAATGCTTAAAGGCTTGTGCTACCAAGGCCAGCTTATTTTGCCTCTTCGAATGTACATTGTGCTTGATTTACATTATGAAGACCATTTTTAGGCAAAATTGGAATTAGAAACATCTAACATATTTTATGATTTGTAGGGACCCCTCTGCCCCTCCCTGTGTGAAGACAACTTGAAACTCCATTTACTCTAGTTTGACCAGATAATGAAAACATTTCACATTTACAAGGAAAGAATGGGAGACAACAAGGATGAGACTGAGAGCATGCAATTAACACACACAAAGAAAAGAAAGAAACAACTTGGAAAGAGGAGGGAAAGTCAACAGCAAGGTCAGAATGGAGCAAGAGCTTGAACTAGCTGCTAGAGCAGAAAGCCACCGAGCAACTCAAAGGAAAACAGCCAGAACCAACCAGACACTACCAGTCAGCAGAGACACCAAGAGCTGCCAGATAGAGAGGGGTGGGAAGGAAGGGGGAAGGGGCAGGGATAAGAAGCCAGGAAAGAGAACAGAGGGCGGGAAGATGGCGAGAACGTGGGGAAGGGTGTCAGCAGGGGCGAGCTGCACAGTGGTTGGCAGGGGAGAAGTCGGGGTGGAAGAGCATTAATAGACCAGCCAAACTGGGGTTCAGTGACTCTGAGTAAGATGCGCAAGGGGGAAAAATCACCACGAAGTCAGTAACCAAACAGCTCAGACTGCTACAAGACAGGATGTACATCCAAAGTCCAGGCGACATCACTCCACAGCAGTGAAAATAAAAGGAGCAGGAGGCAGAGGAGCAAGTCAAACCACATCTGGTAGTGTTAATGTGAGATGGCAGATGGACTTTTCCCTCTTAATTGTTCTGTGATTACATTTTTAAAAGCTTCTTCTCTAGCACTTCTGATTCACTTACCGCCAACGGGCACCATCGCCAGCATTGTGTATAGTTACCATGGAAAGAGTGAGTCAAGTGAAGGCCCTAAATGCTAAACCATCGGAGAGGGGAAAAGCAAAATATGCAGACATCTTACTCGAATGCTGGCTTTCACAGTTAATACTTCAAAAAACTGGTAAAGGAGACAGGAGCCAGTTAACCTTCAATGCGTTAGTCCCTCTAGTGCTGGTAAGCACAGGGGCTGACTGAGCAATCACAGCATCTGTGCATCTACGCCACCAGCTGGCCTTGACCCCCCTGCTCTCAACTTTGTAATCAGGTCTTGAAATGCTTAGTATTAAATAAAGTCTAGAACTACCAGAGTTTTGGATTCTGTCTCCCCCCCCAAAACCTCCTCCATCGTCTATCCACACTTATCAAACGCACATGGAGGGGAACTGGCCTCCAAAACATAATGTTATGAGCTAAGTAGTTTTCAGACATTTCTGAAGTTAGTTTTGCTTAGGCCTCATAATAGGAATCCAGGGTCTTGCAGAAACTGAAGCAAAGAAAAACACAGAGAGAGAGCAGAGGACACACACTTTGGAACAGGAAAAAGGTAAATGAGAGCACAGGTAAGCACACACTCCCACCCCCAGCTATACCGCAGACAACCAAGGGTGGGGAGAAGCAGACAGGGTGACTTGTATACAGTGCGGTGCAAGGACGTGAAGACAGACAGACAGGTGTGCACACATGGACAGGACAGGGTTCCAAACGTGAAATAGGTGAGGCAGTACACAAAGAGAAAGAAAAATATAAACGAGAAATTGAATTATTGAAGACATGCACCTCGATTTTACGGCCCTCTACCACGGTGCCGTGCAATTTCTCCCTGGCCCTGTCTGCATCAGCACTATTCTCGAAAGTTACGAACCCGAATCCCTGCATGCAACGGGAGAAGGGAAAACATGCACATCGTTATATTGAAATACTCATCTCCTGGTCAACAGAGAGAACATCACAGTATGAAGTGAGGTCAGCACAACTAACACCAGCACGTTCCTCCAAAGGCACAGTATTGATCCATGCATATTTTGTAAAGGGAAATTTAAACCCAATAAAAGGATAAAGAACTGTAATAATAGTAACAGTAACTTAACAATAACGACAATAACAATAAAATATAAAGTACGTGAGGCCAGACCAAGATAAAGGTAGGAAGTTACTCGGGTCAAACTATACAACCAAAAATCTGAACACAGAACAAAACCAAACCACAAAACCATTATTACTGTGCCACTGGTACATGTGGCTGGCAGAGATAAATGCAATTGCTTTTCCCACCTTTATTTTTATTTGTTCTTTAAACATTTATTTATGTAGTATGTGTGTATATGGGCATGCGTGTGCCATGGCATACAAGATGAGGTCAGAGAACATCTTTCAGGAGTCGGTTCTCTCCTTCCAGCTAGTGGGTACCAGAGAACAGAACTCGGGCCATCATACAGACATACAGCTTTAAAAACATATTTATTTATTTCTGTGTGTTTGGGAGGGGGGATGTGTGTGGCACAGTGTGCGAATGGCGGTCAGAGAACAATTTGAGTGAGCTGGCTTTCCTTCCATCATGGGTTCTGGAAGTCAGACTCAAGTCTTCAGATGTGGCAGCAGGTGCCTTTTATCTGCTGAGCCATCTGGATATGCCTGGCTTTTCCCAGGAGTGTTGAGGACCAAACTCAGGTTCTCATGCTTACAAGAAAAGTACTTCATGAGCTATCTTTCCAGACCTTATGTTTTTCTTTCTATTGACTCTCTGACCCCCAAACCTATACTTCTCTCACATTCAAGGTTAATGACTCCATGGCAGTAAGATTTAGAGGCATTTTTAGTTCCACTTTACCTGTGTCTTACACTACTGTCCTTGGGAGTAGGATAACTTAGGGCAGTAGTATGGTCTAGTTCTGTGGTAACAGCTGTGGAAGCAAGGGACAATGAGCAACTAGGAAGCTTCTTCAACGAAAATTTAAATGATCATAATGACAATTTACAGAAAACATGTACAGCTAAAATTTGGAAAGCTGATAACCTAAGCTGCCTATATCATATATCTGTTGATGCCTATCTCTGCTGTTAAAGGCAAACTAGTTATTTTCTGCATGAGGAAAAGAAGGAATAGTTGGCCAACAGGCACCAGGAGTGAGGGATGTTAGTAATAGTGGTTGTCTCCTATTCGATAGGGGACAAATGCCATACGTAACGATGCAGCTGCCGTGTGAGTTAGGATTAATATAATGTGCCCCTGTAGTTGATACAGATAGAGAACACAGACCGGGAGGCCAGGAGTTAACCTATCTCTGTGTCCGTGTGTCACCTCTGCCTGCAAGGGGAAGATCACCACATGCTCACAGACTGCTTCACTGCAGTGCACTGTCTGCCCTCCACAGCTCTAACTTTTCACTTCCCTAGCGGTTTACACCTGCAGGGGGGAACTCCTCAAGATTCCCAGGGAGCCACTGCTGTGGAAGCACAAGCATGCCTCCATATATAAACCCCATCCTATGCACAACTTACAAACACAAAGGTGTGGTCCCTCAGCAGTCTAACTGGTCCTACAGTAGGTGGTGTCTGGAGATTCCGATAGATCTTTTTTTTTTTTTTTTTTTTTTTTTTGGTTTTACGAGACTGTCGGTCCAGCCTGGCCTCCAACTCACAGAGATCCACCTGCCTCTGCCTCCCGAGTGCTGGGATTAAAGGCGTGCGCCACCACTGCCCGGCTCCAATAGATCATTTCTACCCACAACTTGCATACCACTACAAATATCACAGGAGGGCACGCTCTGACAGAAAGGAAATGAATGTTTACCGTGGTGGAATGCTAGGGCTAACTGTCCTTACCACTCTCCTACAGAATGCATATTTGTTGAAAATCATAATAGAAAAGCATTTTCTGATATACATTTTGATGTTAACCTGTTGTAGGCACTTTGACAACCTCAAGGTACAGAAGGCAAGTTACTAAGGATGCCAGTGTCTTTCTTTTCTCTGAAGATGAACAGAGCCGGAAGACAAGAAGCCAACTCTCCTACCAGGGAATTCACCAGAGTAAGCACGTTTTAAAGAAAGGCCACATACAGCTGTTAGTTTTTAAAGATTTATTTTACTTTTAATTGTGTGTCTGTCTGTGTGCACATTAGGTACAACTATGGGAACAGGGCAGTGAGGGCAGATCTGGCAGATTCATTCTAGAGGTAAAGAATGATCTAAAATGGAAGACAACACCTTGTGTTATACAGTGAGTGTAAGGATCTCAGAACTTAAGCTTTGCAGACTGCCTGTGGACTCTATTTCCTAAGTTACATTATTCTGCAAAGCCCTCGTTTCTTTTCTAAACTCAACTGTGAAGTGTCTCTGGTAGCATCTCTTTTGAGATGTGTGAATAAGAAGTATGCACCACAGTAACTATGTCAAAAGAACAGAGGTGGCATCACAAGCACTAACTGTAAATGACAAAGTTTAACATTAATACCCATGTTAGGCTTTCTCAGTAATGACTATTTGGGGGAAAACTGCATTCTTAAAAGTCTACATTAAAGTCTTTTATGTTCTAAGATGATCAAATGCCAAAGGACATGTTAATGGAACTAAAGACAAACTAAAGCAGTCTTCCCAGCAAGCCTTCCCTGGTGAGAGAAGCAGCAGAGGTAAGAGTGCCTTCTTTCCTTTGAAGATAAACAGACCCCCACCCCCAAGTCCCTCAAGACTTAATCCCTGAAGCCACAGAAGATGTTACCTTGCAAGGCAGAAGTGATTAGATTAAATGATTTCAAGGTAGGGAGATTACCCTGCCAATCCAGGTGGGCTCAATGTACCCCCATGGTATTTATAAAGCAAAGGAACTCAAGAGGGCCAGACTCCAGAATCTGATGATAGCAGCTTTCAAAAGGCCTGGCTGCTCATGCTGGCCTTAAAAACAGAGGGGTCACAGTCCAGTAGCAGTGGGCATACTCCAGAGGCCCAGAAAGGCAAGGAGCTTCCCAAAGCAACACAGTTAAACTTGCAGCTCAGCCCATAGACTAACTTAAGCATTTTTGTTAAAACTTTAAAAAGGCATTTTTTTTCATCAACCTAAACACCATGCTTCCTTATCTAACATACTCATATTCCAGTTTCAATGCTATGAATCTGAAGTTTGGAAAGGCATAGGGATTATACTAAGGACAGCCACAGCCTCTTTGGGCTTAAGGGTCACCCACAGGAAAATCTGTTCCAGAACACCAGGCTTTAATGTACCTCTATCCTTCAAAACTGAACTGGGAGTAAGTTTAGTTCAAATTGCTAGTTTTAAAGAGGAAAAATAAAACTATGTCTAAATTCAACACATTTTACTTAAGCAGCTAAAAGTGACCATAAGTTACACTGAAATATAAAAATCAACCTGCACTAGTATAATATGGAATAATAAATATGATATAATTTGTAATAAAGGTTAATTACTCATGAATTCTCTCTCTTTTGGGGGAAGACAGGTCTCACTATATAGTCCTACTGTCCTAGAACTCTCTATATAAATCAGGTTGGCCTTGAACTCTTGCCCTCCAGAATACTAGGATTAAGTGTGTGCCACCATGCTTAATTTACTCTTTTGTTTTTTCAAGACAGGGTTTCTCCATGTAGCCTTGACTGTCTTGGAACTCTCTTTGTAGACCAGACTGTCCTCGAACTCACAGAGATCAGCCTGTCTCTGCCTCCTGAGTTCTGGGACTAAAGGTGTATGTCACCACTGCCCGGCTTACTTTTAAACTCTTAAAAAGTTTATAAGGCAATGATTTTTACTCAACTCCCATTAAAAAAAAGGAAACTTGTTTTTCATTTTAAAAAGATGCCACATTTGCTTACACCAACACTAATCCAACAGAAAGAAGCATGTGTGCCACACACACACTTTACATTTCTTACAGTCACATTAAAATAACAGAGATGAAATTAATTTCAACATCATATTCAGACCTCACATTTCAGAGGATCACAGCGGTTGCCACAGGCCTATACATACTTGTTTTATGGTTCTCTGTCCCCAACATTAATGAAACATTCCAGTGTTACTTTCTAAACTGTGTTAGCTGTACTTATGGAACAGCATTGTGTTAAGTGTACGGCTGTGGTACAACTTCTATCAGGAAAAACAGTGTTCATACCTGCCTTGACACCCACTTATCATCAATGACACACAGGAGCCAAGGAACTGTCACCTTTTTGGTCTGGCCTCAGGCTGTAATAAGTGACAAGCAATAAGATGAACAGTGTAAAAACACTCGTTTTAAAATTCTGTATAGGTTTTGAATTTTTCCATCTCAGAAGAATGAGAAAGAAAATTTACCATGTAACTTTTAGGGGAGAAATCAAAAGTAGATGACCTCCTGGGTGTGGAGAACACAGAAATTAAAAAATAAGTGGGGAGGGGAGAGAAAGAAAACTAAACCCCAGAAAGTGGTAACAAAAGAAAATAAACGAAGCCTTTTGGACACATATATCATTAATTCAGTTTTAAGTACAGTGGAAAAATTTCACGCCATCATTATCTATCAATTTTACTGAAAATCACAAAGGCTCAATGTGACTTCAAAGAAAATCTTTTAAAGCACATTTGGAAATAAATAATTTCTTTTCACGTGAAATCAAAAGCCAAGGTAATGGTCAAGAAACCAGAGCATAGACCTTGTGTGTGAAGACACATCTCCTGCATACCAGCCTAAACAGAAGTCCAGCCTGAAGCCAGAGCCTGTTGTGAGAGGTCCACTTGAGGGAAGGAATGAACACAGCTGTCTTGATCAATAAGGGTGGGTGAGAGTGCATACAACGATAGTGGAAAGTCCCAAGTTAAAAAATGGGATGAATATAGGAAAAAGCTCTCAGGCACCGGAACCTACAAACAAGAACTACCTTGTAGTATCCTGGGGCTAAATGGCAGCCAAGACTCAGGGTTCTGTCCAAGAGTTCACATGAGACACCATCATGGAAGTTAAAAGCAGACTCACGGGTGGACGTGCTGTTGTTTTTTTAATTAAGGGTCTGTTTTCCCTCTAAAAGGTCATTACTCAAAGGAGCTACAAGGAAAGTACTACTGTAGTTTATCATTTGTATTGGGAAATTTTGAGCTGAAAGGGCCATCATAAATAACAGACTTGGGCTAATCTAAAGTGTAGGACCAGTCTATGTAGGCCACCTCATGTTCTGTTAACACTGCTGTTCCTAGTGCAATCTGAGAATCAAGAAAGCTACCTATAGCTCACACTCTCTTTTCCAGACCCTCTGAGGGAATGAACTATTTTCTGGGGTCTCATCACACATTTGAATTATACAGTTTTAAAAGGCAGTGCTTTCATCTTCGTTTCAGCAGGTCAGAATTTAGACACAGCTGATTGCTTTTACAGAGAAAGGAATAAAATAACATACTCACACAAAGTAATTTAAGAAATGCTGTGATGATAGCCTAGCATAATTCAATGACAGTCAAAGCCAAAAAGGAACTAGGCAAACATGAGGCGACCACTGCTTTGAGGAGCACAGCAGACACCATGGGAAGAGCTGGAGAAGGCTGAGCAGAGTGTAGGGAGCACTCTTACCCCTTCCAAATGGACTCACTATAAAGATAGTTTGGGATGCAGCCCATCGGCTGAGTGCTTGCTTAGCAGGCACAAAGTCCTGGGTTCCAGACCCAGAACAGGTTGGGAGAGGGTGCTTTTTGTTTTGTTTTGTTTTTCCGCTCTAGAATAATTTGGTTAAACATTAATTTACATATCAGTATCACTTATCTCAGACTTATTTATGACTAGTTTTCTCATTACTACTTAACATTCATAATAAAGGCAATTTCTACATAGAAAAGTACTCTGTTTAAAAGCCTGGGCAGGGCTTCTGCTAAAACCATAGTACCACAATAAAGTCCTGAAACTTCGTAGTCAACTCCAAATATTTAAGGAGAAGCCAGGTGTGGTGGCACACTCCTTTAATCCTGGCACTTTGGAGGCAGAGGCAGGAGGATCTCTGAGTTCCAGGACAGCTAGGGCCACAACAGAGCAAAAACCCTGTCTCAAAACAAAAACAAAAACAATGAATAAAGAAAGGAAAAGGAAAATAAAGGAGAGGCTACATTCTCTCCAAAAAAGAGTGCTTACTCATTCTCTTAGCTGGATCCCAAAGGATCACCTTCTCAGCAGATCTGGAGTTGGGGGTCCTGTGCTGCCTACTATGGGAAAGGCCTCAGAGCAGCCAGGAAGGCAAAAGTCCCACTCGGGGTCTTCTCAGCCCTTGATGAGGGTCCAGGGCGACTCTGACTTCTATGCTTTGCTCTGGATACACTTACCAATTAGCAGTCTACATTATCACAGCCCAAAGAAAGCAGGGCAGTGAGGACACTGCCTGGAGCTACAGAAGCAACTCGAACCTCAAGGGTCCCCAAGGGAAAAAAGTAGGCAGGTGCCATTATTTTAAAATGAAATTACATGGGAGAGGTAACTGGTTATGGTGAAATTAAATATTAGTAGCAGGTGAATCCTGAAGTTGGTGAAAGCCTTTAGAAGGCTCCATCTCCTCTGCTGAACAAGAACTCATCACCATTTTCTGTGAGGAGCAGTGCTCAGCACTGGGGGCAATGACAATGGCCTTCTGGCTGGTGCAGCTTAGCTAAGGTTATCTGAAGTACACCCAGCTTAAGTCTTTCAATTAACTACATTAGACAGTGTGGTCAACGATCTTGATCTTTATCTACTGATCTTCAATTTCATCTTCATTCATATGCTTCCACCTTGAGGCGATGGCCACTTTCCCACTTTGTAGCTAAATGCTTAATAAAAACGAATGTCAGGAAGCACAGATATCAGTGTCTTATAGGGTAGTTAACAGGTGCACTTTAAAGATACTTACCCGGTTAAGTGCTGGAGGAAGGTCTATAGAGACATATTAATCTTTCTGTTTTAAATGAAAGCTGGAAGCTTAAAGCACAATTACCTCTTCAACAATGAATAAACAGCAGTTTTTGGTACACTCTATAAGGGATGCAAGAGTACTGTGGCATCAGAACAGGGTGTGTGGTGTATGCATCCGTGCAGGTGGGCGGGAGGGAGAGCTAGCAACTACTGCAGCACAGGGATCTGCAGGAAGGTAAATGTTAACTCAGTTACTGCATTCAGCTTTTCCTTAGATTATATTCTTAGGGCTTTAATCATGGCCAAGACCTAAACAAATAAGAATTAATTTTAGAATCACTAATTAATAAGAAAACAATTTCAACTGCAACATCAGTCTCTACAGAGCACATTAGAAGAGACTACACACACCACCTTGCACACTGATACTACTGTCATTCTTCATGTAAAACCTATTGGGGGCCAGAGTGGCTTCGTCCCGAGGCTGGCTCATGAGTGTGGCTTGGGAATGAGAACACCTCAGTACTCACTGACTGGAGGCTTGTCACAATTTACCCCAAAGAGAACAAGTGAGCTGGGGAACTGTGAGAAAAGAGCCCTCATCGAGCTGTTCTAACTAAGCATGCCATGCTGGCATTGCTCAAACTGAGTCGATCCGAGAGAATTGGGAACAGATTTTCCATCCTCCTGGTGCCTCTCTCTGCCTTTAAGGCAGTGCAGGCTGACTTAGGCTGGCTGAGGAACTTTGCCTCCCGCCCTTGGAACTGCCACACTCCTCTCTAGCTTCTCTTGCTTCCTGACACCCTTCCAGTGTGAGCAGCCTCTTTCTGGAGAACCTAACCCAGGGAAGACCCCTGGCCGAGTTCTGTGCAGCACAGGACCAGCTCCTGCTCTCTGAATGGTCACTGTCCCAATGAAACTAGTCTGAGAGGAAGCCAAGCACCAGATACTGACACAGGCCTTACCTTGGAGCCGCGCTCATTAAAGATTATTTCCACATCTAGGATTTTGCCAAACTGCTGCAGAGACAAAAACAAAAGCATTTATATAAGGTCAGCCTTTGTCTAGATACTAGCCTTCCTTCTGAAGGAGACAGCTTTTCTTCTCTGACCTAGTTCATGTTCCGTCGTGTCAGCAGATCCAACACGAGCTTCTGAAATGGCCCCACGGCCAGTGGTTCCTCCATCCACATCCACACGCAGACGCCACTGTCTGAACACTTCACAGAGCTGCCCTTCTGCAACCATGCGGCTAAGGCCTGGGCCTTTTTCTAACTACTGCCTTAATTGTATTAATGTCTCAATTTTAAAAAGCTAAATCTCTTTTTTTTAAAAATAGTTTTTAAGGTTTTATTTATTTGTTATGCATACAATCTTCTGGCTACATGCCAGCAGAGGGAACCAGATCTCATTCAAGGTGGCTGTGAGCCACCATGTGGTTGCTGGAAAAATGTTTATATAATATTATTTGAGATAATTTTATTTCTATTTTTTTTAACTTTTTCTATTGCATTCTTTTTTTTTTTTTTTTTTTTTTTTTTTGGTGAGACAGGGTTTCTCTGTGAAGACCTGGCTGCCCTAGAACTAACTCTGTAGACCAGGCCTCAAACTCCCAAGTGCTGGAATTAAAGGAGTGTGCCACAACAGCCCACCTCTATTGCATTCTTTTTCAAAATTTTATTTTATGTGCATTGGTGTTTTGCCTGCATACATTTATGTCAGTGTGAGGGTGTTGGGTCCCCTGGAACTGGAGCTATAGTCATGTGGATGATGGGAATTGAACCTGGGTCTTCTGGAAGGGCAGTTAATACTCTTAATTGCTGAGCCATCTCTCCAGTCCCTTCTATTGCATTCTTTTTTGCTGTTGTTGTTTTATTTTTTTGGTTTTTTTGAGACAAGGTTTCTCTATGTAGCTCCGTGGATTCTGTCTTAGAACTTGCTCTATAGACCAGGCTGGCCTTGAACTCACAGAGATCCTCCTGCCTTGACCTCCTGAGTATTGGTATCAAAGGTGTGCGTAACTACCGCCAACCCTTCTATTGCATTCTTATAACACTTTTTTTTAAATAGTTTTGTTATGTGTGTGTGCACATACATGCACATACCTGTGTGGGCCAGAAGATGTGTTGGAATTCCTGGGCTGAAGTCATAGGTGGTTGTGACCCAGCATGTGGGTCTAGAAATTGCACTCTGGACCTCTGCAACAGCAACAAATGCTGTAACAGCTGGGCCATTTCCCAGCCCTTTTATAACAAGTTGCTGGAGCATGGCCTGCCCTCTTTTTACGATTAAGAAGAATGGAACTGAAGCAGCTGTGGTGGAATTTCACAGCGCTAACTGAACAGCACAGAATTCCTGTTCTTTCTCAGGGTTACTGGTCTAACGACAGGCACCAACCACATGGAAAAAAAGAGACACCTACCTGGCCGTTGTAACGAAAAGATTTCTACTTTATGCGTTAGGATAAGGTATGAACCATTTGAGAAACCACTAAATGACCTAGGCAGCTCTTGGAAGGCCACCATCCTTCTGACTCATGAGAAAACACCACGGACAGATGCCAAAGTCTGCCATTCTCAGCATTCAAGACTGAGTCTCTATTGTCTGGGATTTCATTAATTTCCCAAGGTCCTAAGTAACCAGAATTTTATCCTGGGCACTTTAAAAAGACATCTCGTATTTGCTCCATTTAGATGAGCCACCAGTAAACCTGTATTATCTACACTCTATGTATTCTGAGACAGTGCAGAGATAGAAACCAGAACTAATGCATCCTGAACAAGGGAAAGGAAGGGAACTGTGAGGGGGCAGGAGGCAGTGATGTGTCAGGAAAACGAGCATGTTGCTACACTCAGCACTACACAGAATCTCTTGGAGACCCTGTACCGTAAGCAAATTAAATCTCACCTAGTGTCAGTATTTTTCTGCTTCCCAGAGGACTTCAATGCCCCTGCAGGTTTAGGAATCATGCTATAAAGGATTGTGGATGTCTGCCCTTTTAGTGAAACCAAGAATATTACTGACAAGTTCACTAAGGCTGGTGTGTGAGAAGGGTAGTCATCTCAGTGGTTTGGGCACTGAATGTCTTCTCTTCAAGAACCACCTCAGTCCTAGCTAACCCTGCATGCAGCCTGTGTCTGTGTGACAACCTGTAACATTAATGTGTAGGGCAGGATAGGTGACAGGAAAAGGTTTCCAGACAACAGTGATTTACTTAAGGTTCTTTCTTAACTTCCTTACAATTTTACCCTAAAGTTCTAATGACTAATACACCTCTGATGAATTAAATTGTTTTAATTAAATCCATAAAAAGGTATTAGAGACTTACCCCAAACATCTGTCGGAGGTCAGGGTCCCGGAAGCGGAAGGGAATATTAGAGACATGTAGCCGCTTGGGGGTGGATTTACTCTCTGAATTTTCACTACTTTGGGTCTGTGACTGTTGTCCATCTGTCTGTGCTCCACCTTCTGTCTGCTAAATAAACAAATAAATAAACACAATGAACACCCCAAAACTCAGTAGTTATTTCCTAAGAATGCTGTGAAATGAAGTTCTGCTTTCAACAGTGGATGTTAAGCAGGACTCGTTACTGTCCCGTTAAAGAAGAGGGAACCCAAGGTGTCACTGATGTTCAAACTGCTTCTCATCTACAAACAAAATGTGGGGCGTGCAGGCCTAGAACCCTCTGTGGTTTGCTGAAGCCCACGTGGAGATGTAAAAACAGCCCTCCTCTTCTCAGGCCAAGTAGAGCCTTTTATTTTTGAGACCTCTGTTTTGAAAACAAAAGCATCCCTTGTACTCTCTTGTAGAGGTCACTGCCTCTCTAGCTCCATCATCTCAGACTCTTAGGAAATCAGTAAGGCAGTACTTTAACATTATATTCCTCTTTTTGTTTAAGAAATTGCAATGCTATTAGTTATGAAGGCTGGAAAAAACCTAGTGATGACAGTCAATTTGCCTAAAAATTGAGGCAACTTCTTATCTTGAATTCACCTTTATTCTCACCTCTCCTTGATTCAATTCTAGGTGACTCTGGTATTAGGGAATCTTTACCTGTGTCCTAAATGCAGGTTATGTTTCCATTCCATGGCTTTATGGGGCCCTGGCTATTAGATAACACACTGGTTCGTCTGTGTCCATGGTGACAGAGTATGAGCATCCTTTCCTTTGAAATCTTGCTATCTGTGTGAGTGCATGCATGGGGTAGGGTGTAAAGTGCTGTAGAAGCCAGACAAGGGCACCGGATCCCCTGGAGGTGGAGTTACTGACTGCTGTGAGCCACCACGTGGGTGCTGGGAATAGAAATAGGTCCTCTGCAAGAGCAGCCAGTGCTCTTAATCTTGGATTCACCTCTCTGGCGCCAGACAGTAAACAGTTTTAATCAAACATAACAGATACACATCTCGTCAACTTTCCTCACATTAACTTCTCAAAGTTCCTACGTTGATTGGTATTGTATAGGCATTTATAAGAGTGACACATTCCTTGTGGTCCTCATTTGGTAATTTAGCCTTACATTTTTACCATTCTCTATTTAGTACATGCCACACCTGATAATTTGAGCTGTTAAAACAACATACATTTAAGAAGGAGTGAAATGGGCTGCTCTTATTACCTTTCAAAACAAAACAAAACAAAACAAAAACAAGACAACAAAAACAAGACAGGGTCTCATGTAGTCCTGGCTATCCCGGAACTCTTGCGACCCACCTGCCTCCGCCTCCTAAGGTGTGTGCCAATACCACCTGGCTTTATTATCTTAGGTGAGACAGAACTGAGTCTGCAGATTCTCCTGGGTGACATATGGGAAAGCTCTTTGACCCAATGTTCAGGCTAAAAGACACTGTGAATCAGAGGTACTTTGAAGTCATCACTTAAAATATAAAGTATAACCAGGAATAAACTTTGAAAGAACATTTGCTTCGGAAGTGTTAATCTAAGGATGGCAGCTTTGTACTTCATTCCATATAGGCCTTGCCAGTGCATTAAAAGTGTAATGGCTCATTTGATGTAAAAATAGCAAAAAAGGGAAGGGCTACAGAGCAATGTTCTGCAAAAGTGTGAGCTTGTCAGCCACCAATGGGAGCACAATGCAGACTAAAGAAAACAAATTTGAAGATGAAACAGCATCATGGACACCACAGTCACAGCAGGAGCCATCAATGGTAATGAGATCTTATTCAAGGCCTTCCAACCTGCTTCTTTTATCTCACAGCTGTATCACATAAATCCCTCTTCAATCTTTAAAAGCACCAGATTTAATCTTCAGAATGTGACACACGAAATGAAAAGATTGGTTCTACAAGCTCTAAGCCAGTTTTACATATGACTTCCATGTGCCACCCATGTAGCATGTCATGGTGCATGTTGACTGGCAGGATAAATGGGTAGGAGGGGATTAATTCACAGGCTGTGGGAGGCTCCTAGCTGTTGTTCCTGATGGCTCTTTACCGTTTTGAAGACTAAATTTAAGAAAGTCACAAGTTAAGAGTAGCTAGTTCTCCAGTCTGCAGTGAGCACTTGTTAACTCTAGGAAGACCTGGTAAGTGGCAAACTGATAGTCATTTCAAAATTTTTAAGTCTTCTAAAATTTCTTTAAAAAATTTATTTTTATTTTATGTCCATTTGTTCATTGGTGTTTTGCCTACATGTATGTGTGTGAGGGTGTCAGATCTCCTGGTGGTGGTCGTGGTGGTGGTGGTGGTATTGGCAGTGGTCCACACCTTTAATCCTAACACTCAGGAGGCAGAGGCACCTGGATCTCTGTGAGTTCAAGACCAGCCTGGTCTTCAAAGAGAGTTCCAGGACAGGTTCCAAAGCTACAGAGACCCTGTCTTGAAAACCAAAAGAACAAAAAACAAAACAAACGAACCCCGCCCCCCCAGTAACAATGAGTAACTAAACTGGAGTTCGTACTGATAAAGACATGCAAATCAGGGCTGCAGACGCAAAAGCACAGAGCTGCATGGAGACCAGAAAGTGCACCCATATAGCCATGAAACCCTAGCAACAGGCAGGGCCTCTCCAGTACTCAGTCCTTGCCAAAGGCATCGCTGTGGCAACTCACACACCCACCTTCCCTTCCCTTAAGTAAGCGCTCCACGGCGAAGTAAACAGAAATTATCTGAGTTGATGTCCGTTAACAATAATTTTCCTGTGAGCATCTCATTCACATCTTTTGGTGCTGGGTGAATACACACCCAGGAGTGGACCTGCTGGGTTAAGGACACGTGAGCCTTAGCAATGCCACCCCATCCAAAGCCGGCCTGTGCTCTCTGTGCTTGGAATAGTCATTGGAGCTCTTTTGCGGGGAGACAATGGCTTCACACAGAAGCTTGTCGCTGTTTTTTTGGACACTGGTAATCTTAAATACCTATGCAAATCCTTTATCCATTTTCAACTGGGGTGTTTGGCTTTTGCTTATGATTGTACATGTTCCTTATGAAACAATATGCCCATAAATATATGTGTGGCAAACAATTCTAAAAATTATTTTACTTACTCTCTGTGTGTGTGCGCGCGCACACGTACACACGGGGGTGGGGGTGGGGGTGGGGGCGCTGCCCTTGGTTGCCGGATCTTACCATTTGCCTTCAGGGAGAGGGGCCTCCTACCTCCTATGAACAGGGCTTCAGATTGTCTTTCCTCTCTTTATAGTGCCTGTTTTTTCCTCCTTTCCCATTCACTGGAAAACTGGAATTTCCTACATAATAACTGTAGCTATTTATTGGATGCATATTTTATGTTAGACCTTCTATAAGTTTACTAGCTAAGGATTTTAAAGTAGATTTTTGATAACCTTACAGAGTAGTTTTTTGTTTTTGTTTTTTTTTGAGATAGGGTTTCTCTGTGTATACTTGGCTGTCCAAGAACTCACTCTGCATAACAGGCTGGCCTCGGAAATCACAGAGGTCTGCCTGCTTCTGCTTCCCGAGTGCTGGGATTAAAAAAAAAAAAAGATAATTTTTTTCTTAATGAACATAGTAGATGCTATTTTAATTCTCATTTTCCAGGTAAGAAGTCTGAGGAATAAAAAGACTGAGAGAGGATTTGAACCCAGGTAACCTAGCTCTACAACATACATTCTTTTTCTTTTCTGTTCTTTTTAAGATTTAAAGAGTATTTTTAGTTATATGTAAGTTTTTCTTTTTAAAGTCTGCATGTGGGTATGCACACATAATCGCAGGTGCCTGCTGAGGCCAGAGGCCTGAGATTGTCTAGAGCAGGACTTAGAGATGTTTGTGGGCTGCCATGTGGGTGCTGGGAATTGAACCAGGGTTCTCTGGAAGAGGAGCCAGTGCTCTTAGCCTCTGAACATCTCTTCAGCCCCTCACAGCAGGAACCTGGAGGTGGGAACTGATGCAGAGGCCATAGAGGAGTGCTACTTACTGATGCTCCCCATGGCTTTCTCTGCCTGCTTTCTTATAGAACCCAGGACCACCAGCCCCCTCACTGATGTGGGAGGGACCACAATGGGCTGGCCCCACCCCCATCAGTCACTAACTAAGAAATTATCCCAGAGGCCTGTTTACAGCCCAATCTTATGGAGGTGTTTTTTTTTTCTCCTTAACCGAGGTCCCCTCTTTTCATGTTCACACCAAATACACTGCTCTCAGAATACCACACTGTATCCCTGAGCATGTACCACCGTTTACCATCAGTAAAAAAGGCTTCCATGTACATTGTTGTTTCTACTCTTTAACTTTTTTGTTTTTTTAGACTAGCTGTGCAATCCATGCTGGCCTCAAACTTGATTCTCCTGCACCTGTCTCTGGAGGTCTGGGACTGCATGCCTGGCCCCTTTCAACTTTACATCCTGTGGATTTATATCTGTTATTATTTACCAGTATGAGAAACACTTTAAAACAGGCAGATTACATGAAGTCATAAGCCTATTGTCTGTTAAAGTAACATTTTATGAAAGATTATTTTCCAAAACAAAATTCAGCTAAATTTTAGTGTCCTCTATAACACATGCATTTATTCAGTTTTAATGCATTGTTCTGACCTGGACAGACTGCCAGGAAAGGGAGAGAAGAATCTGACAGTCTTCTCAGTAAACTGTGGATTATCTTCTTGGATAATATACCCAAAGTCAACAAGCTGCTGTTTCTTACTGGCAATGGGCCCCAGGACCACTCACACACTAACTAGGCAAGCATTTGACCACTGAGCTACATAGTTGGCCTGTCAAGCAGCAGTCTCTGGAAGGCTAATGGCAATGTCAAACTGTGACAATAAACTCCTCGTGCTATTTGTTAAGCAATTATCTACTGGATAACCAAGTAATCAAGCATTTCAGCCATACATGATTTTGTAACATTAACTATTTGTAAATTGTGAAAAAATGTGGTTTTGCTGATGATTGCAAATTTATTTATTTAGTTTTTTTGGGGTGACAGGGTTTCTCTGTGTAGCCCTGGATGTCCTGGAACTCGCTCTGTAGACCAGGTTCGCCTGGAGCTCACAGA